GATATTCCCCCTGGGAGCCCCAAGAGGCTTCAGGAAGCCCCAGGTGGGGTCCAGGAGGCCACAGGAGGCCCAGGAGGAAGCCCCAGGAGATCACCAGGAGGTCCCAGGAGGCCCCCGCAACTCGGAGCTTTGAGACGCCGCGCTCGAGGTGGTCTGGCCCGTTTCGCCTGAGACTTCCTCGCACCACGTTTCGCCACAGACATCGTCGCAACTCTGGGGTCCGAGATGCCGCGCGCGAGGTGGTCCAGCCCGTTACGCTGGAGACATCCTCGCAACTCTAGGCTCCGAGATGCCGTTCGGGATGAAGAGGAGGTGGAGGAGGAGGAGGAGGAGGATGAGGAGGAGATGGAAGGGAGAAGGAGGAGGCGGATGATGTGCATGAGGGAGCAGGCAGGAGGAGGGGGAGGCCCCAGAGAGCTCCAGGAGGCCGGAGGACGCCCAGGACAGGCCCCAGGGGTCCCCAGGAGATTCCCAGGAGACTCCCACGAGGCCCCAGGAGGCCGCCTATCAGAACGTGTCAAGTTAATACACATCCGGTGTCGATTCGTTGATTCTTCCTGCTCTTGTGCCCCCCCCTCCATTTGGAGAGGCCCAAACGGCGACAAGTTAGATATCCCCCCTGGGAGCCCCAAGAGGCTTGAGGAAGCCCCAGGTGGAGTTCAGGAGGCCACAGGAGGCCCAGGAGGAAGCCCCAGGAGGTCCCCAGGAGGCCCCAGGAAGCACCAGGAGGCCCCCGCAACCCGGAGCTCTGAGACGCCGCGCTCGAGGTGGTCCGGCCCGTTTCGCCTGAGACTTCCTCGCACCACGTTTGCCCGAGAAATCGTCGCAACTCTGGGGTCCGAGATGCCGCGCGCGAGGTGGTCCAGCCCGTTACGCCAGAGACATCCTCGCAACTCTGGGCTCCGAGATGCCGTTCGGGATGAAGAGGAGGTCGAGGAGGAGGAGGAGGAGGAGGAGGAGAAGGAGAAGGAGATGGAAGGGAGAAGGAGGAGGCGGATGATGTGCATGAGGGAGCAGGCAGGAGGAGGGGGAGGAGGAGGAGGAGGAGGAGGAGGAAGAGAGGAGGAAGGGAGTTGCAGGAGAGGACCTAACGGGAAGCGAGTGCGATGTGGACTTGTCAAAACGTGTGCGAAAGATTGTCCGGCCCGTTTCGTTTGAGACATCCTTCCAATACTGAGCTCAAAGATGTCGCTCGCGAGGTGGTCCGGCCCGTTTCGATTGAGCCATCCTCGCAATGCGAGGCTCGAAGATGTTGCGCGCGAGATGGTCTGGCCCATTCTGCCTGAGACGTTTCGTAGCACAGGAGCTCCAATCACAACCTCTCTCATTCCTTCTCCCGCCTCCCTCTTCCCACTTCCCGCCTGGTTCCTCTTCCCTCCTCCCTCCTCCCGCCTCCCGCCTCCCGCTGCTGCGCCTCTGCCTCCGCCTCCCCGTCCCCGCCGTCGTCGTTTCTGCCGCCTCAGCATCCGTCATGCGCGCACTGCCTTCCGCCCTCCCCAGACATCCGACGTCACGATTTTTCTTTTGAGACGTGCGCCGCGTACCTCTCGATATCACCCCCGAGGGAACCATCACAGCATGCCCCCCCGTTTCCGCGCCCTCCCCCGCTTCCTCTTAAAGTTGCTTCTGAGTTCATAGCATGGCGGTAGAGCCTCTCACAGTGCCGACCCGACAGCTTACTCGTCGACCAGGTGCGACCTGGGACATCCTCGCAACTCTGGGCTCCGAGACAGGGTTCCCCAAACAGGATTTTTCCCCAAACAGCTTGCTGAACGGGGTGCTGTTGTGATAGAAGCTAACTTCGGCCGAGGGGAGTCGGAGCAGAGACATCCTCACAAAAATTTGATGGTCCGGGCCGTTTCGCTTGAGACATCCTCACAACTCTCGTTTCTGAGTTGGCCGGGATTGGCCGTTTCGCCTGAGAAATCCTCGAAAAGTTGCGTTCCGGGACGCCGCGCGAGAGGTGGTCCGGGCCGTTTCGCTTCAGACATCCTCGAAACTCTGAGCCCCGAGGTGCCGTGCAAGAGGTGGTCCGGGCCGTTTCGCCCGAGACATCCTCGAAACTCTGAGCTCTGAGATGCCTTGCGCGAGGTGGTCCGGCCCGTTTCGCCTGAGACATCCTCGAAACTCTGACCTCGGAGATGCCGCGCGAGAGGTGGTCCGGCCCGTTTCGCCTGAGACATCCTCGAACTTCTGAGCTCTGAGATGCCTTGCGCGAGGTGGTCCGTCCCGTCTCGCCTGAGACATCCTCGCAACTCTGAGCTCTGAGATGCCGTGCGCAATGTGCTCCGGCTTGTTTCGCACGAGACATTCTCGCAACTCTGAGCTCCCAGATGCCGCGCAAGAGTTGGTCCAGCCTGGGGGCCCAGAAGACCACATGTTACATATCCTCCCTGGGAGCCCCAGGAGGCCCCAGAGAGCTTCAGGAAGCCGCAGGACGCCCAGGACAGGCCTCAGGGGTCCGCAGGAGATTCCCAGGAGGCTCCCAGGAGGCCCCAGGAGAGCCCCCTATCAGAACGTGTCAAGTTAATACACATCCGGTGCCGATTCGTTGATTTTTCCTGCTCGTGCGCCCCCCCCCCCCATTTTAGGGGGGGCCCGACGGCCACATGTTAGATATCCCCCTAGGAGCCCCAAGAGGCTTCAGGAAGCCCCAGATGGAGTTCAGGAGGCCACAGGAGGCCCAGGAGGAAGCCCCAGGAGGTCCCCAGGAGGCCCCAGGAGGCCCCAGGAGGCCCACGCAACTCGGAGCTCTGAGACGCCGCGCTCGAGGTGGTCCGGCCCGTTTCGCCTGAGACTTCCTCGCAGCACGTTTCGCCCGAGACATCGTCGCAACTCTGGGGTCCGAGATGCCGCGCGCGAGGTGGTCCAGCCCGTTACGCTGGAGACGTCCTCGCAACTCTAGGCTCCGAGATGCCCTGCGCGAGGTGGTCCAGCCCATCTCGCCTGAGACATCCTGGCAACTCTGAGCTCTGAGATGCCGTGCGCAAGGTGGTCCGGCCTGCTTCGCACAAGAAATTCTCGCAACTCTGAGCTCTCAGATGCTGCGCAAGAGGTGGTCCAGCCTGGGGGCCCAGAAGACCACATGTTACATATCCTCCCTGGGACCCTGGGAGCCCCAGGAGGCCCCAGAGAGCTTCAGGAGGCCGCAGGACGCCCAGGGCAGGCCCCAGGGGTCCCCAGGAGATTCCCAGGAGGCTCCCAGGAGGCCCCAGGAGGCCCCCTATCAGAACGTGTCAAGTTAATACACATCCGGTGCCGATTCGTTGATTTTTCTTGCTCTTGTGCCCCCCCCCCCCCCCATTTTGGGGGGTCCCGACGGCCACATGTTAGATATCTCCCCCTGGAAGCCCCAAGAGGCTTCAGGAAGCCCCAGGTGGGGTCCAGGAGGCCACAGGAGGCCCAGGAGGAGGCCCCAGGAGGTCACCAGGAGGCCCCAGGAGGCCCACGCAACTCGGAGCCCTGAGACGCCGCGCTCGAGGTGGTCCGGCCCGTTTCGCCTGAGACTTCCTCGCAGCACGTTTCGCCCGAGACATCGTCGCAACTCTGGGGTCCGAGAAGCCGCGCGCGAGGTGGTCCAGCCCGTTACGCTGGAGACGTCCTCGCAACTCTAGGCTCCGAGATGCCCTGCGCGAGGTGGTCCAGCCCATCTCGCCTGAGACATCCTCGCAACTCTGAGCTCTGAGATGCCGTGCGCAAGGTGGTCCGGCCCGTTTCGGACAAGACATTCTCGCAACTCTGAGCTCTCAGATGCTGCGCAAGAGGTGGTCCAGCCTGGGGGACCAGAAGACCACATGTTACATATCCTCCCTGGGACCCTGGGAGCCCCAGGAGGCCCCAGAGAGCTTCAGGAGGCCGAAGGACGCCCAAGACAGGCCCCAGGGGTCCGCAGGAGATTCCCAGGAGGCTCCCAGGAGGCTCCAGGAGGCCCCCTATCAGAACGTGTCAAGTTAATACACATCCGGTGCCGATTCGTCGATTTTTCCTGCTCTTGTGGCCCCCCCTATTTTTTGGGGGCCCCGACGGCCACATGTTAGATATCCCCCCCTGGGAGCCCCAAGAGGCTTCAGGACGCCCCAGGTGGGGTCCAGGAGGCCACAGGAGGCCTAGGAGGAAGCCCCAGGAGGTCACCAGGAGGCCCCAGGAGGCTCACGCAACTCGGAGCTCTGAGACGCCGCGCTCGAGGTGGTCCAGCCCGTTTCGCCTGAGACTTCCTCGCAGCACGTTTCGCCCGAGACATCGTCGCAACTCTGGGGTCCGAAATGCCGCGCGCGAGGTGGTCCAGCCCGTTACGCTGGAGACATCCTCGCAACTCTGGGCTCCGAGATGCCGTTCGGGATGAAGAGGAGGTGGAGGAGGAGGAGGAGGAGGAGGAGGAGGAGGAGGGGGAGGAGGAGGCATGTTGTAACATGCCATGCCAGCCCGCACTGGACGGGCACGCAATCGACCTTGGAAACCGCAGTGGGTCTAAAAACCCTGTTTGGGGATACTGCACTCCAGCTATAATTTTTTGTTTTATATGTGGAAAATCCATCCTGGCCCGCTTTGAAGGCATGGTCATCCGTGGCAGCGAGGGTCCCACCCATCTCCGAAGGCAAACACGAGGAGGAGGAGGAGGAGGAGGAGGAGGAGGAGGAGGGAGGGAGGGAGGGAGGGAGGGAGGGAGGAGGAGGAGAAGGAGGAGGAGGAGGAGGAGGAGGAGGGTGAGGGGGAGGAGGAGCAGGAGGACTCTACCGCTTCTCCCTCATGCCCTCCCTCTCCTTCCTGCGGCTGGTTCATGCTGTGACGACCTGTGCATCAGGTTCTGGCACTGCGTGATTCCTTCAACCGCGAACGATCGCGGCTTTCCGACAGCGAAGATCGTTCGATATCGGCTGACACTGGGCCACTGACGGCGTTCAACTTTGAACGCCCGCGTTGGAGTCGCCGCCGCGTCAACGCGGCGCGAACCCGCCGTAACATGGTTGCGTGATGCGCAGCGTTTTTATGGGCCGCTGGGCTTGTTCATCTCGGTCATCATGCCCGCAGACATCTTGAGCGAGCTGGCTGTCGCCATAGAAGCGATGGCCGTGGTCAGGTGGAGGTTCACGGCCGTCATGGAACACCTTAGCAGCCCTCCGTTCCCAAACGGTGACTTGAGAAAACGACGCCGAAGCTCTCCACAATCTTAGCATCGGGGCTGTTTTGTTTCTCGGCCCGCATGGGGGGGGACTTGCTCAGGGGGGGAAGCATCGACCTGGAACCGGCGATACCTTGCAGATGGATCGGCGGCCGGCCCCGAGAGCGCATCCAGACGCTCCCGGGCGGGGTGGGCCATCGGACCCCGACCGGCGATCTCATCAAGGGCGATGGGGGGCCGATGCGCTCCCCCTGAGAGCTCATCCCCCCCCCTAACGCTGCCCTGAGCTCATTCCCCTGAGCTCATCCCCCTGAGCTCATTCCCCTGAGCTCATCCCCCCCCTGAGCTCATCCCCCTCGAGCTCATCCCCCCCCTGACGCTACCCCTGAACCTCACGCCTCGGGGCTGCGCCGCGGGCCCTGGCGAACGTGCGGAGCGGGATGAGGCGCGGGTCCTGGCGGAAACGCAGGGACGGCCCAACGTCGAGGCGACAGATCTCGGGGTCGGCCAAGAGGGGGGCGCCCAAGAAGGGGGGGCGCAAGTCATTTCCAGCGGCTCATGCGCGGCCCAGGGGGAGGGGGCCAGGGACGTGTTGAAATAAGAAGAGGCGCCATGAAATCTGGGGAGATATCGTGGACTCCGCCATGAGATCCCCCCAGTCACCACCCCCCTCTTGGCCGCCCCCAGCAAGAGCGGCCCAACATCGAGTCGACAGACCGGACTGGGACGTGCACCGAGCGGGGCCGCAGCTGTACAGCCGATAAAAATCGATGCGAGTCGGCCGCGCCAGGACGCACGGCGGTGCCGTGCAGACGTCGGGCCGCACCGGATCGTGAGGACGAAGCCATGGCACAAGATCCTGGCGATGCGGTCTTTTCACACCGGGCGTTTGCGCTCAACTTCGGGCCCCAGGATCCTCCTAGATCGATCCGGCTCGAAAAATGGCGCAGAAAGATGGAATCTGGGGCTCTGGTCGTGGTGTTCACGATGTTGCAATTTTTTCGCAACGTCGGATCTCAAGGTTGCCGGGACAAGATCGGACCAGGGAAAATCGGGGATCTCAGAAATCTTGCGGTTCTGGAGGATGTAACGGGCGCCGCGGCCGTTCCAAAACGCTCTGGAATGATTTACCCGAGTCCAAGCCCAGGCCACCCGTGTAATACCCGCGTCTTTTTGCCCTGCTGCCAGCCGACGTGGCGCGGCCGGGACACGCTTGTCGGGGTGTTTTTTCGCCGAAGCCACTTATTGGACCCCTTCTCCGTCGCATTCGCCTCCCAAATCTCCGACGATATTCGTTTTCAATCGGTATTTTTTCGTCGATTTCGGCCCTCGGGGGTTGTTCTCAGGTCCTGGGGCCATCACAAAACGGATCCAGGACGAGGACGAAAAGTTCCCCCCCAGGGGAAGCGGTCGGGACCTCTGGGGGATTGAAAAAATCAGTTCGGCGGATGTCAGGATGCCCTTCCTCGCCGTACTGATGATGCTGTTGCCCATCCTCCTCCTTCTCCTCCTACTCCTACTCCACTTCCTGTCCTTCTCCTCATCGTCCCTCTCGTCGTCGTCTTCTTCTCATCCTCGTTTTCCTCCTCTGCTTTCCCCTCTCCCCACTCCTGCTCCTCCAGACCCCAAGCTCTTGATTGTTGGAGCTGTGTGCGTGTGTGGAACCATGAGGATACATAAGCGCCGAGCCATATGAGGCCACGCATCAGCTGGCGGCCACGCAAGAAAGGACCCTTCCCAAAGAAACCGAAGGAGGTCAAATTATGTTTTCCACCATGCAGATGCAAGTCAGTTCGGAGCCGCGAACCGGTCAAGCACCAGCCGACGCGCCCGCCAAATGTGTGCCATGCAAACATAGGCAGAGTGGGGCCGCCAAGCCGCCAAGCACGGTCCAACAAAACATCGGTGCCCCAAATGCGCGCCAATATGCCTTATGACACCAGAAATTACCCCAGTGCGACCCTACCTAGAAGTTGGAGCCCCTAGGAAAGCAGCATTAGTTGCTATGCTAGCTATGCCATGCCATGCTATGCTGCGCTATGCTATGCTATGCTATGCTGCGCTATGCTATGCTATGCTGTGCTATGCTAAGCTATGCCATGTCATGCTGCGCTGTGCTATGCAAAGCTATGCTATGCTATGCTATGCTAAGCTGCACCAATGCTGCGCTATGCTATGAAATGCTATGCTATGCTTGGCTATGCCATGCTATGCTATGCTAATGCAACGCTGCGCTATGCTAAGCTAAGCTAACCCTCTAGGCAGAGCCTAGGTAGGGAATTACACCCTGCTATGCTATGCTATGCTATGCTGCGCTGTGCTATGCTGTGCTGTGCTGCGCTATGCTATGCTATGCTATGCTGCGCTATGCTATGCTATGCTGGGCTATGCTATGATATGCTGTGCTGCGCTATGCTATGCTACGCTATGCTATGCTATGCTGTGCTCTGCTATGCTAAAGCTCAGCGAAACTAAGATGAAGGTAGGCTAAGCTAATATGAAACAAACTAAGCTAAGATGAGATAAACAACGCTAAGCTAACTAAGGGGACGTAACTGGGGGAACCGCGGGGCGGATGCCGGGGGAACCGCCCGGGGCGAGGAACACTGCCAGGCCCCTTTAAGCTTATAAAGTAAGAACCCTTCTAGGCAGAGCCTAGGTAGGGAACAAGTAAAAGCAGTAGACAGCCCTGCTCATGAACATTTGATCCAAGCGGATTGAATTGTTGATTGGGTGGCGCAAGAAATTCGCCGGCCCAACGGGCCAGGGCGTGCTAAGATCTCCGGTACCTGGTTAACAGTATTTCTAGTTCGCGCGCGCGGGGCGGCCCCTGGGGGTCCCCGGACGAAAAGTACCCTGGCAAGGTCGGGCCAGAGATGCCGGAGCCCTGTTACAGGGCCCCAGGACGGGCCAAGAGGTCCCCAAGAAGCCTCCAAGACGGTCCAAGAGGGCGCCGCGACGACCAAAGATCGCCCGAAGACGCCCAACAGGGTCCCAAGACAGCCCAAGAGGCCTCCAAGACGCCCCAAGGGCCTTCCAAGAGGCCTCCGAAGAGGGCCCCAAGAGGCCAAAATCGTTGATTTTCATTGTTTTTTCTATGTTTTTTGCGTTCTGGCTTTTTCGGCTTCCGGACGCTCCAAGACGGCCCAAGAGGCCCCCAAGACCGCTCCAAGACGGCCCACGAGGCTCCCAAGACGGCCCCGGAACGGCCCAGGAGGGCCCCCAAAACGGCCCAAGTGCCGCCCAAGACGGACCAAGAGGCCCCAAGACGGGCCCAAGAGGGGCTCAAGAGGGGAACCGAGAACTGAAAAATCGAGCCCTCCGCCCCAGAAGGCGTCCAGGAGGCCCCAAACAGGCCCCAAGAGGCCCCCAAGACGCCCCAAGAGGCGCCCAAGAGGCCCAAAAGAGGCCCCAAGAGGCCCTAAAACGGCCCCCAAGAGGCCCCAAAACTCGGCTAGCCCACAACGGTGCGACAATATGGGCCGGCGGAATGAGCGAAGCGATTAAATAAACCAAGTGGCCAATATTGCTAGAGGTTGTGCTCATCCTACTCCTCCATAAATCAAAATGTGAGTTTATCGCGCGTGAAAACCCCACCAGCCCGTGGGGCTGGCCCGATGACGGTCAGGAGCCCAATCTCGAAAACCGCCCGAGCCCGAACGCCCGCGTCTACCCGCGGTGATCTAAGTCTGGCCGACTCCACAAGCCCTGGACCAACTGCTCCTGCTCCTGCAGCACCTCCTGCTCCTTTCTCCTCCTCCTCTTCCTCCTCGCCGCTCCCTCTCACCACGATCATATCCGCCGACCCCTGCGGAGTGTGCGATTCAACTGTGCACCTGTGGACGACATCCACCATGGCAGTCTTTCTTGCCAAGAAACTGTATCACCCTGACATTATTTCCGGAGTTTTACGTCCGCACCGCCCCTCCAGACCGCTGCTTCCTGTTCCACCCCCCAGACCGCCGCACCCCGTTCCACTTCACCCGCGACAACCCATGGGGACCTCTGTTTTGGGCCCACCCACCCAACAATTCCTAGCCCGCAGCCGACCCGCGCCCCCCATCACGTCTGACATTCGCCCACCCCACCCCTCCTTTTCCACTTTCCCCACAACACCCCTATTGGGACCTCTTTTCGGCTCGTCCAATCAATATCCGGCCCGCAGCCGATCCATGTTCTCCACCACGTCTGACATCCGCAGCTCACCCCCTCCCCTTGTTCCATTTCCCCAACAGCGCCCCGCAAGAGCTCAGCTCTTGCGACCCACCGGCCGACAATGCCAGGATCGAAACCGACCGCTACCTCCCACCATGCCCCCCCACCACGCCCCAGCATCCCCACCCGACGAAGAGCATTCTATTTTTCGGACACCTTCACCGGACAATTTCCGGCCCGAACCCTACCGATGCCCCCCGACATGCCCCCTTCGCGCCCCGGCACCCCCGCCGTCACGCCCTGGCACCCCCACCCATGAAAGCCTAGTTCGCGGGGCCCCCGCCCGATAATTTCTGACCCGAAACCTACCCGGGCTCCCCGCAATGCCACCCGTCACGCCCCGGCACCCCCACTCCGCGAAAGCTCAGTGCGCGCATGAGCTCAATTCTTCGCTCTCCCCGCCCGACAATTTCTGACCCGAAACCTTCCAATGCCACCCACGCGGCGCCCCGCCACGCCTCGGCACCCCCATCCCAGGATAGCTCAATTCCTGGGAAGGTTCACCCGACAATTTCATGCCCGACACCTGTCAATTCTCTCCGCCGTACTCACCGCCACGCACCGGCACCCCGGCCCAACGAGAGCTCAATTTTTCGGACACCCCACCTGACAATCGCTGGCCCGAGCCTTACCGATAACCCCACCACGCCCCGGCACTTTCGCACCGCGAGAGCTCAGTTCTTGGGGCTTCTCCACCGAATAATGTCTGGCCCGAAACCTACCGATAACCCCCACCATGCCGCCCGCCAGGCCCCGGCGCCCCTGCCGCGCGAGCGCGCAATTCTTGGGCCCCCCACCCGACAATTTCTGGCCCGAAACCCATCGATACCCCCCACCTTCCCCTGCCACGCCCCGGCGCTTTCGCCCCGCGGAACCTGACTTCCGGGCCCCCCCCCGCCGGATAATAATAGCCCGACGCCCACCGACGCGCCGGGCCCCGCTGCGCTGCCCGCCACGCCCCGCTTGAGAGCTCAGATCTTGCCCCCCCCCCGCCCGACAATTCCTGGCCCGACGCCTGCCCGCGCCCCCGCCGTGGCCCCCCCGCGCCCCGGCGCCTCCGCGGCACGAGAGCTTGCGACCCCCCAATCTGAGAATGTGGCCGAAACCTACCGATGCCCCCCGCCATGCCTCCCGCCACGCACCAGCGCCGCCGCCGCGCAACAGCTGATTTCTCGCCCCCCCCCAACCGGCAATTTCATGGCCCCCGCCATGCCCCCTGCCGCGCGCCGGCGCCCCCGCTGCGCGAAAGCCTGTTCTTGGGCACCCCCGCCCGGCGATTCCTGGCCCGCGCCGCGCCGCCTCCCGCCGCGCCCCGGCCCGCCCCGTGAGAACTCTGTTCTCGGGCCCCCCCCGCCCGACCATTTCTGGCCCGAGACCTACCGATGCTCCCCGCCATGCCCCCCGCCGCGCCCCGGCGCCCCCGCCGCGCGAGAGCTCGGGTCTTGGGGCTCCCCTTCCAACAGGTTCTGGCCTGAAACCAATCGACGCCCAACGCCCCCCCCCCACCCCGCCCATGCTGCGCGCCGACCCCTCGCCGCGCGAGAGCTCATTTGTCCGGGCGCCCCGCTCGATAATTTCTGGGCCGAAACCCAGCGATGCCCCCCATGCTTTCCGCCGCGCCCCGCGCCCCCGCCCCAGCTGAGCTCCGTGGAGGGCGACGCGCTGTTCCGGGCGCGGCCGGGGCCGCCCGTCTGGAAGTCCAGCAGGATTCTGAAGCACGTACTCTTGGATAATGGAACCCGACCTCTGGGCCGAGCGGCGCGAGGGGGCCCGTGCATCTGCGCCAGGATGCATGTTGCCGCCGCGCCGCGCCGCGCCGCGCCATCCGGCGCGTCGGCCTGAGAGGCCGCCAGGCAATCGGGTGGTGCAGGCAGCCCTCCGGGCTCAACCCGGGGCCCCGCAAAGGGGTCGAAGAGCGTCCCGGGCCGGCCCTCAGCCCGACCCTGGATGGGGCCCCTGGGAGAAGGTCGGAGACCGGGAGAGAGGGGGGAGAGAGGAGAACCAAGGCAAAGGAGGGGGAGGGGAAAGGGGGGGGGGGGGGCGGGAGAGGGGGGCCCCAGCCGGGGTCGTGTTGGGGGCCGGCCGGGAGGAAAGGAATGGAGCGTCGAGCCCCGATCGTGCTCGTCGCGTCGCCCTGCGACGCCTGTGTGTTGAACCCTTCGCGAGGGTGCGCTATGACGGTGAGAAAGGACCCCTTTACCTCTCTGAAAGGCCACAAACAATGCATAACTCTGGTTGGCTTGAACCAACATATCACAGTACGGGGCGAACGATAGCATGGGAATGTGTTAAGCTCATAGGCGCATCGCAGAAATCAGCAGTGGGCCCAATTTTAGTGAGCTTAACGGTTCTGTAAACTTCCTCATGCCAAGCAATGGGCGCCGCGCCCGCGGCGCCGCCAAAAGACTAGTCAAAATGCCTGGCCGCTGCGCTGGAACTCACATCTCTATCTCTCTCTCTGTCTTCCACGGAGGGGAGTGGTCTTGGAAACGCGACACTCTGACTCCCAATCTCTTCAAGAAGAAGAATAGCACATCGAGATAACGAATCGGGGAAGGAGAGGGGGAACATAATGATACAAAGAGAGGAAAGAAACTGACGAGAAGACAGAACAAAGGTGCGTCGTGTGGATGGCAAATGGGTATGGGGTTGGCGTCGGGACTGGTCGTTACTGGAACACTTCGGGTTGGGGGTCCTCGGTATCTTGCTGAGTGCGGGCCATGTGCTTCTGAGACGATGCGCGCGAGGGACTTCGACAGGCAAGTCTTGCGCTCAGAGAGAGAGAGAGAGAGAGAGAGAGAGAGAGAGAGAGAGAGAGAGAGAGAGAGAGAGAGAGAGAGAGAGAGAGAGAGAGAGAGAGAGAGAGAGAGAGAGAGAGAGAGAGAGAGAGAGAGAGAGAAAAAAAGAGAGAGAGAGAGAGAGAGAGAGAGAGAAAGAGAGAAAGAGAGAGAGAGAGAGAGATAGAGAGAGAAAAAAACAAGAGAGATAAAGAGAGAGAGAGAGAGAGAGAGAGAGAGACAGAGAGAGAGAGAGAGAGAGAGAGAGAGACTGTGCCTCCGACATCAATCTGAGGGCCCCCGACTTCAGCATCCTGAACTGTGCCGCATTCCCCTTTGAGACATCCGAGCGAATCATCGCGTCCACTGGCGTCGCTGGATGTGGACCCCATCTGCTGCAGCCATTCTGCTTCTCCCAGGGCACTGCTGAGGGCGAGCATCTCCTCTCCGAGGGTCGAGGGAACTTGGCGCCTGACCTTGGGCGACCTCCAAGCCAGAGGAGTGACTCGAGCAAGGCTGCCGCTCGAAGGAGAACGACCTGCTGCCGGAACTTGCCGGGCCTGCTGAACCCGAGCGGGACGATCCCCGCCTACCCCTCCGCAGTCACTGATAGTGCCGAACATATGGTCACCGGACGGAACTTCGAAATCGTAATGGGAATGCTGGCAGTATTCTGGAGGTGATCTACAGCTTTATTGGCCTGCAACAAGTCTCCGACGGTGGGTTCATTGACTGAGGATGCCAAAATCGAGGCGGTGCCTGCTTCCCCACCCAGGAAAACCGATACACGAGATACCTGAACTGCACGCGCTCTGGGGCCAACAAGGGAGCGCTGTGATTCCCCCTTCTATTCCGAGGCAAGTCTATCTTCGTCAGGGATTCGAGAATGTACGTCTCTTGATCAACTAACACTCGGTCTTTCAACAGGCGCAGTCTTCTGCCGATTCATTCTACTCCCTTCTCGTCTATGGCCTTGAGCTAACCGAACTGAAATCTTTCCTGACATGGCTGGGGACGCTTCTCCACCAAGGACGGATGCACGGCTGTGCCCCAGTCGTCAACTTCTATCAAAACCTGAACCTTGAGGTCGCCGTTGGGTGCTCTGTCGTAGAACCAGCACGGTTCCATTCTACATACTTTTACGAAAACCTATTTCTGGAAGCAGTCAGCGGTAGTACGATGAAGCGCTAGTGGTGCGTCATCTAGTCCGTATACTGGTGCTACTAGTTATATAATAGCGCCTGGTTCCAGATTCGGACCTTCACTAGGTTCGACGAAGACGCGGCCTGACTCGCGCTCCGACTCGTCACTTTGGCAGCACGCGTTCTTGAGGTCACCTATGGGCAGCTTGAGACCGTAAATAAGAGACACGACTAATAATGACATGAGTGACTCCATTTGAGGTATGGGAGCGTGTACTTTTAGTTCCGCCGTGTCTGCATCTCCGTGGCCGCGTACACACCATCTGCTCATTGCTTTTGATCGAGCGTGCGTGCCTTCTTGCGGCTGCCAACGTCTCGCCATTCGATTCGATACGATTCTCCCCGAAAGGTCTCGACGAATGGCCTGAGCAACTGCAGGAGGGCGTGCCCGAGCGGCCCCGGCTCCCATGATGTCCGACGATTCTGTCTGCTCTGAAACATCGAACTCGGCTTTCTCCTCCGGGGAGAGCTTTCTCTTCTGGACCTCCTGACCCTTCGCGTTGGCTAGGGGCAGACTGCGGCCCGACTGGCCGGGCCGAGCTTCCACGGACACGTCTGCGTTCCCTTTCAAATAAGAGCGCCAGTCACCATTCCAACCGCAGAAGACACGTGTTCATTCATGGACTCGGAGAACGTCTCAAACACGTCCTGCTCGTCCTCCTGCTTCTCCTCATGTAAAAGGGCCAGGGCGTCGGGAACGTCCGGGTCGGGGTCGGCCAAGAGAATCAGGTTTCCACGCCTATCTGGAGATCTCGACCTGTCGCGCTCGGCCTCCGGGCCTCCGGGCGCCGTCGCGCCTTCGCGGCCCCAAGGTTCCAGCTCGCCAACCTGTTGTCTCACGCGACCGTAGGGGGCCCCTCCGAAGTCTTCCCCCCTCGTGGGCAGTCTCCGCGCAATCGGACCCAGGTCCAGAAGTTGGTTCCGACGCGCAGCCCTGGAGGCCGAATCCGACAGCGCGCGAGGATCGTGAGACACCGGGTGCATCTGAGCGCCCCCTCCCTCGGAGGGTTGGGCGTCCCTTGCGGGCTGAGAGGCTGAATCGGCAACTGGGGCGGAATCCTCTCCCGAGACGCCGCGGGGCGTCGCCCTCCCAGTCGAGGCGGCGTCGCTACTAGGCGCCGCCGTCGAGGGCCCCGGGGGAGAGGCGCGCGGAGGACCTCCCTTAGCTCCTACCGACTCAGCTTCTCGCGGGGCCGCGCTGCCCCCACATCCCCCGCGCGGGCGTCGTCGCGGGGGGGGGGGGGGGCGCCGGGGCAAGTCCGCCAGCGCCCTCTCGTTCTCGGCTCAGAGGGGGGCTCCATGTTTCTTCGGGGGGGCCCCCTCGCTGCTGACATCCACGCCGGCTCGATGGTGCCCGCTCTGGGCCCCCCTGATCTGTTCCCAGATGGCGGGGTCGAAGATCTAGAACCTCGGCGCCCTGGGGCTCCGAGGACGTAGCTTCCCTGACTTGTTCCGAGGAACACTTCCAGAGACGTGATCGCATGGCGACCCGGACGGTGTTCTGAGCCTGTAGAATGACTATGCCCGGGCCCACCCACCTGGCGCGCTGAGGAGCCAGACTTTTGCGCCCTGACTAAGCGGCGCGCCGCCAGACGTAGACCCATTGACCTGGAGCGAACGTTCGATCCTTGTGCTGGCGCCTCCGATCGGCCTCTTGGACCCGCTGGCGGCTGGACGCCCGAGAAAGCTCCCTCCTGGCGTGCTCGCGGATGGCAGCGTCTCGGGCGAAGTCGGCCGCGGCCGCGTCGTAGTCCCAAGACGTTTCCAACAGGTCAGAAGGGGCCAACAGTAGACGCCGCGTCGTCTGAAAGGACGTCGTTCGGCATGCGGGGGATTCTGTCCTAGCACCAGCTGGTATGGCGTAAATCCACCACGGTGTAGGCACGTATTCTTAGAGCTGACAATGCCATGCACTAGCAGCTCCAAGTCCTGGACAGACGACGCAACCTGGTCTTCCATACCTTTGAGGAGCAGCTCGTTTACCCACCCTCCGTGGCGTTCTGCGTGCCAATTTTCCGAGGGACTGTCGCTGTTCACCACGTGCTGTAGAATGCCATGATGTCCTGCACCTCGTTCGAACTCAGCTTGAAATTCTGGACCCCCCATCACATATTATCATATCCAGAGGGCCAACATATCGAATCCAGGAAGACATAAACGCGCTCCAGCAAGTCTTAGCCCCTCCCTCGTACTTGGAGACGACCTTGAAATTAGTGCCGTGGCACACCGCGTTCAAGAATGGGACTTGCTGGTCCTGCGTCGTCACGAAGAAGGTATCTATCTCGAGAACTCTGTTAAACTGCAAGGTCCCGGGCATAGCAACTCGACGCCTTTCTGGAGGTCTCCGCTGCGCCTCGCACGCATCGCGGCGAAGGTGGTTCCTCGCATATTCCAGGGCCTCCGGCTTTCTCCGAGCCGCTCTCAAACATTAAATAAACTGCTCGGCCTGAGGATGTCCTAAGTTGACGTGCAGTTTCTGAATCAGAGCCTTCGCGCGGGCCGTGATCTCCATGGGGGAAGCAGACTCTGGCTCCTCTTCTGGATCGAGGTCTACTTCCATGTCGCCTCCCACTGCTGGCTCTCCTCCTTCCTCCATCGGTTCCTGAACTCCATCGTCATCCATGTCCTGAGTGCCTTCGTCTTCGGGACAGGAAGGGCCTGGGCAGCGGGCCCGGGGCGCGATGCATCGCCTCCGCGTAGGCGGTCGTCCAATCTGACCCTTCGTCTTCGAATCTCGGGGTGCCCCCCAGACAGCTCGGACGAGGAAAGCGGTGGCGCGTCGTCGCGCTGCTCGAGACCAGGGGGGGGGGAGGTCTTGGGACCTCGAACCCTACCTCATGAGACGACAGACGACCTCTATCGGGCCGGCCGAAAGACGCGGCGGCAGCTGATGCTGGACGTCCCCGTCCGTCTCCGGCGGCCTCGCGCGGGCGGGGATGGCAATGGGGGCGGGAACGCCGGCGATCTCCGCCAGGAGGACGCCCGTGTCCTGTCGAGCCGACCGAGCACTCCGAGCCACGGACAGAGCCAATCTCTCTGCCAACTTCGGGCGGTACACCTGGGCCGCTGAGGTCTTCTGCCCCGCTTCCAGGGGAACGTGGGCGCGCCCTCCCTGGCACTCGAAACCCTGGAAGGTCTTCCACACCTCGAAGCAATTAGTCAACAACCCCGTCGTTTTTTCGGGGAACTCCGAGGGGGGGGAACCTGGGGGCCGAAGCGACACTGGTCGATCAAAGTGTAGATGACCCCATCGACCTTCATGAGCCCTTGCAGGGCCCGGGTGTGCCAGGATGGGGACGTGTGCGGACGCTCTAGAACAAACTTGCGCCCGGCCGCGATCTGTCTCATCGCCACCTCCTGGCATAACTCAGGAACATAAGACCTTCCAGACGGGTGCGAAAGGCCGTCTCGGCGTCCACGTTCTCTCGGCCGATGTCCCAGATCCTGCAGAAAGCCTTGCGCGGTGGCTCTATCATGACCATCCATGACTGGTGCTGATCCATGCAGCTCAGAGCCCTCAGCTGATGGGTCCGCAAGCGAAAATACCAACCCGTCTCGAGATCCCAACTCCCGAAATGAGCGACCACGTGATTACGAAGACGCGGTCCTGTCCTTTCCGGAGAAACTATTTATATGAATCCTTCGGGATCCTTACTTTTCCTGTCTGGGGTCTTTGGTCGTCCTCGGGTCTGGGGTTCACTGGTGGGGATGGCTTTAAGCGTGAGATTCCTTGGGATAGTGGCCTCGTTGTCGTCGTCCAAGACACTCTCCTCCATGAGATGATGCCATTGGGGGTGCTGGAATAGCGTCCAGCGTTCATTATATTGGCCCGTGCTGGTAGTGATCGTCTGCAGAGCCATGACCGATTCGTTCTTCTCTAGCCTCTGGAGAAGCTTACCCGATGGGGAGAGGACAACAAAGGTGTGCTCGTCTGGTGCGATCTTGGCTCTGCTGACGCGAAACTCCTTTCTCTCTCCCGGCAGGCCCTGGACAAGGATCAGCTTGCCTGGCGCAGGAATCACTTCTGCACGCTCGGGTCCGGCGGCGCCTGGACCATCTCCCACGACGGAGATCCCGGCGCGGCTGACGACCCAGGAGTGGCAGTCGACGCGCTCGACGCGCTCGAAGCCCCCGCCGCCAGACGCTGCAGGGTTTGGCCCGGCTGCTCCATCATGCGCAGCATCTGGGCCATGTCGCTCCCCTGCTGCAGCGCGATGCCGCGCAGCTGCTCCTGGGGCTCCTTCAGCTGCTGCACCTGACTGATCGCCGCCGAGGAGCCCGCCTTGGTGGGGCGACGCCTCGCCGCCGGCGGTGGCGCCGCCCGGGCCTGTCGTAGAACTTCCTCGGGCAGCGCAGGACGCGTCGCATCGTCCTCGATATCCGACTTCATCGCGCTTCCCTGAGCGACCATCCTGCTCGCGCGAATGTTTCGATGCGCCTGGGGAATCGCTGATCTGCGACCTGCCTGACGGTCGTTCAGATGTGGTACTGGATAGTCGCAGGTCTCATCGCGCTTCGCAGAGATACGCGGGCCCTTCTTGTCGTGGTGCCCGACTCGCAGGCCGCAGTTCGTGCAGTTCCACCAGTGGCCGAATCCGTTGCTTTCCTGCTGGGCCGTCAAGATCGGATGACGGCGATGCATCTGTCGTGGGTTCAGGCGCCTCATGCGCTTGAGCGTGCGCTTGGTCCACAGGCCGTCGTTGACCAGGCAGTGCAGAAACTCTCCCGAGTAGGTCGCCGCCGCCAAGAACGTCAAGGTGATCATGTCCGTCCAATTGCCGAAGGCCCTCGACTCGCGGGTGTCCTGCCCGTCGGTGTCGATCTGGCTGCTCTGCACCATCTCGATCTGGACTCTGGGGGGCCTCGGACGACGGTCGGAGGCCTGATGTGTGCGCCCGATCCACGAGATACTCGAGCCTGAGCTGCTGCGGGGAGCCGGAGGTCACGATGAAATCCGTGTGACATGTCCACTTGAAACAGGTTATCCAGTCGGAACGGCTCTGGCCCCACTCGTCATCCTGATGCAGCTCGTCTCCCGAGGATCTCAACATCAACCTGGTCGACAGAGGTACCTGTAGAACTCAATGGAACATGGAGGTCCTGAAAGCCTTGAGGTGCGCATGGCTGATCTCGGGGAGCCTGATGAACGCGTCTCAAAACGTTGCCAAGAAGAACCCAATACTATGAATCAACGTATTCGTCATTGTTCTTGTCGTCGTCTCGCTTTCTCGTGTTGTCTTCGGGGTCGGGGGGCGCGGGGGTTGTTTCCAGAGTGTCAGTGGAAGATGGCACCTGAGAAGGGAAAGAGGAGAGAGGGAAACTGAACATATCATGCATCTCGACTTGGGCCTGGGGCTCCGAAGAGGCTGGGGAAAAAGGAGGCGAGCGCCATGTAGTTCTCGCTCGGGGCAGCCCTAAACCAGTTTGGACTCAGCTGAGGGTACTCCTTCAGGAGACTCTCTGGGCACTCGAAATGGTCCGGCGGGTCCATCTTATTCGCAGAAAGAACCTATGCCCAGAAGGAAGACGGAACGGGTCTGTCGAGCACCCCAGTTCCTTGAAATAAGCAGTGCCTGCGGGAAGATCTATGCTGGCCTCCCAGATGGTCCTGAGGGGAGATCGGCATCAGTGGGGGTATGTCGGCGTTCATACCGTCGACCTCTAACGCCCCCGCGCGCTGCTGGATCCCTGTGGGCACCAGCGCGCTGTGCAGGATCTTCACCGCGCCGCCTATACCTCGGGCCTGCTCGTGCCTGGGCGGCGCTCTCGCGACTCGGTGGCCCTTCTCATGGAGATCGAGCTCTCGCTTCTTCATCGCGGGCTCGCCGACTAGGCTCTGACCTGCGGCCGTGTCGACGATCGGGGCCCCGGCTGGTGCCTGCAGCCGCCCGGTCGCCAGCTGCTGCGGAACGTACTCGAACGTCGGGTCGATCGAAACGATGACCTCGGCTTCGGTCAGGTGCTGCGTGCAATCGTGCGCCAGGGTGTCCGCGTGCTGCCAGTGTCTCTTGCGTCGTCCCCGACAGCCTGAATGCGCGCGCAACGCCAGCCATCGGTACCTGGGCCGCTCTCGAACCTGCTCACGAGCCTGGTCGACCCACCCCTCGGTCTCCTCCACGGCATTGAACGCCGCGCCGCAGTCGTGGCCGCCGTCATTCAGGAAAATGAGCGCCGATGCCTGCGGCCTCTGGGCTGAGGGGCGAGGGCGCTCATCGCCCAAGTGTCCCTTGTGCTTGCACTTCCTGCATCTCGTGCGCTTGATGATCTCGCTCATCGCGAGGCGCGTCTTGCGCTCGCGAATGAGACCCCTCTGACTGCGGTGCTTGCCATCATCTCGAACCGGTCGCTTGGCGTCTGAAGCTCCTGGCACAGGCGGGGGCCTCTGGAAGTACTTGCGATCCACCTTCGGCTGCCTCTTGTACTTTCTGTTCTGCTTCCATGTCTTCCGGCGTTCGCCCTGGATCTGAGCGAGCACCTCTGGCACCTCCTTCTCGTGCAAAGCCTTGCTCTCGATGGCGTTGGGGAGGATCACCTCGTCTTCCGAATTCATCGAGCTCACGTCGTCGTACTCCAGCAGAACATCCTCGACGTCCTGGCTATCATCTCTCGCGCGCCCTGGTGTGTAGTCCTGAAATGAATCCACTGCCAACGTGGTCTTTGCGCTCGTAGAAGTCGGTGTCTCCTTCTTCGTCACATCTAGATCTCGCAGAGCTCGTTGGGTCGCGCAGTAAGTGTTCGTGTCGCGAGTCAAGGACCTGACCAAATAATTGGGCTCCCTGGGTGTCGAGGGCGGCGCCCTCCTCTAGGAGCATCTTCTTCCACGCGTCTGGTAAAAGTAGTCCTTGGCCCGCGAGCTTCTCGAGCTGCGCGTCCACGCGTGCTGTGTAGTCGCGCAGCGATTGCGATGACTGCCAATGGAACTGAAGGGGGCACCCCCTTGCTGCTTTCCTCCTCTCGTCGCCCTGGCGCTCGCCCGATAGAGCGCCCAGGCGCGCCAAGATCGCATCTGCGCCACCCGAGCTCTCCAACAGCGCGTCGGACAAGTGCTCGAGCCTCCGCTGGAGATCCACGGGCAGCTGCTTCATCGCTCTGTCGGCTCTTTTTGAGATGGTCACGTCCGTGGCGTTCGTCCCTATCTTTCCCTTCCATATCTTGTAGTCGGCCCACGACGTCCACGCCTCCGGGTCGGTGAAATCGCCCTTGCGGTCGCTGGGCCATCGGCTACCTGAATCCCAATGGCTTCTCGACCACTCCTGGCTGGTCCAGCCTCCCTGAGTGTCGTCCCAGTCTTCGTTCTCGTCCCAGTCTCGATCAGCGTGCGTCGCGATCGCGCCCGGCAGCCCGGGCGCGCTCCTCTCGCTGACAACGGGGCCGAGGGTCATCTCGCTCCCACTCATCGTCCTCCATCTTCTCGGTCGCGCCGGCACTCCGAGACTGCGAGGCGCCAGTGCGCCAGTCGGCCTCGGACGAGGCCCGCCCCTTCCAGCCGTGCTCGCCCCAGCTGTCGTCTCGCCACCTGCCGTCGCGCCGATTCGACGATGATCCTCTCCAGGAGAAGCTGGTCATCTCCTCGACCACTTCCTCCGCGACAGCTCTGAGCTCCTGCGCGGAAGCCGTGCGAGCATCCTTCTCCTTGACCGCTGCTGTCGCCTTTTGCCAGACCAGGTGCATCGGCGACCTCCTCAAAGGAGTCGCCCTCTCTCTCTCTCTGTCTCTCTGTCTCTCTGTCTCTCTGTCTCTCTCTCTCTCTCTCTCTCTCTCTCTCTCTCCGTCGCGTGCTCCCTGAGAATCGCGGGATTGCGCAGACGTGCCTGGGGCCGGCCGCCGCTGCCTTCAGCAGGCAACCTACCGTCTCCGCTACCGCTGTGTGTTGAACCCTTTTCGAGGGTACACTGTGACGGTGAGAGAGGATCCTTGTTTCCTCTCCGAGAGGCCACAAGCAATGCATAACTCTGGTTGGCTTCAGCCAACATATCACATTACGGGGCAAAGGAAAGCGTGGGGAGAGGTTGAGCTCATAGGCGCATCACAGAAATCAGCGCGCAGGCGAAAACGGGGCAACGGAGAACGCGGCCGCGGGTGGGCGGCCGCGCCAGCGGTGGCGTCAATCGCCGCTTAATGCATTCAGACAGACCGACCCCTCTGGGGCCGCGCCAAGGCGTAACAATATCAGTGGCGCGTCGTCGATTCCCCCGAGGCGACGGTCGCCAGGAGGCCCAGCGGGGGCCCCACCCCCCGGGGCCCGCCCCAGGGAAAAAAACCGAGATGATCAGGGCACGCCCTCCAAAGAGGGCTCTCTCGCGATGCAGCAATGAGATTCGTGCGTTGCGATCTCCCATTCACCTGCGTAGTCGCATGCGTCTAATCAATCAATCCCTCCGTGCCATTGGTGTCGCGGATGCCGCCTCATACCATGCCCCTGGGCTGCCTGCGCGTCCACCGCCGCGGCGGCCGGAGCCGCCGAGGCTGGAGGCTGGGTCGCCGATGGGCGCCGCCGGGGCACCGCCAGCTGCCCCGGGGGCAACTGGACTGGGCGCCGCGGGCGCGGCGGCCGAGCTGGCAACGGCCGGGCGCCGAAAGACGCCAGTGTCCTGCCTGCCCGTGCCCTGGCCCTTGCCGCCTTTGGCGGCGCCTTTGCCCTTGCCTTTGCCAAGCGCGGCTGGAGCCGCCCGTCCAGAGGTCTTGCAGGATTCTAAAAAGCATGCCCTTGGATCCTTGAGCCCGACCTCCAGGCCGAGCGGCACGAGGAGGCCAGTGTACCTGCGCCTGGGGTACACGGTGCCACGCCACTGGGCCAACCATCTCGGTGATCTCGATGCCTACCTGCCCTGCCGCGGACTGGCACGCGTCGAACGTGGTAGTATCCTTCTTACCCACGGCGCCACGCGAGGTTCCTGCTGACCCAGCTAAAGCAACACTGTACCCGCCACCGCTCGCGTAGGTCGCCGATGCGGCAGCCGCCAGGGGCGGAGACGGCGCGGGTGCGGCGGACGCCTGGGGATGGCGGAGGGAGCTGACCAACCTGGCGGCGCAACAGAAGAGCACGAGGAAACTCTGCATCGAATCGGTATGTCAGACGAATGCAGCTGTACAACACCTTGGGCCAGGAAGATTTGAGCTAAAATGGCTATGGACCGAATGAGGCCAAGTTATGGGGCCATAGGACACACAGCTACAATGAACATACACGCACGACAGCGCCAGTCCTTGACAATCCATGTAAGATCCCCTACATGAAAGCACCGTGTGGGGATTACTCTAGGAATGTATTTGAGATCTTGAAGGGCGTCCGCCAACTGTGCTCCCAAGATCCGTCGGGGCCCGAACGGCTCGCAGCGGCACTGTGCAGCAGTGCGAAGTACAGCAGGATCTGCGGCCACCTGAACTCGAAGGGCTGTCTCCGTTTGGGGAATTCGGCTACCATCAAGTGCTTGTTGTGACGGATGTCTCTTTTCAGTAAATGTTTCGCTTCTCGTTATGGTAATCGTTTGGGCATCGAACGCCGGGCCATACCATCACCTGGTTCGAATTCGATACGGAGCCTACTCCACTCACATGCGTGCCTGGGGCCGTGTCTCCAGACATGCCCCGTGAACGTGCCCAGCACATGCCTGGGGCTGTGTAAGGGACGTGCAATTGTCTGGGTTCGAAGGCGCACCATCCTCGTGTGGGCACGCACGACATGCACCCGGAGCTGTCCTGGACAGCAGTATGGCCTGGACCTTCGAGACACCATCCTCGAGTGGGCACGCGCGGGAAGAGCCTAGAGCTGTCCTGGGATGCACTGTTGCCTGGACCTGGGAAGCGCCATCCTCGAGCGGGCACGCGCGGAGTGAGCCTGGAACCGTTCTGGGACGCACCGTTGCCTGGACATGGGGCGCAAGATCCTCGGGCGGGCACGCGCGGACTGTGGAGCTGCCGATCCGATCTGGGTCCAAAGACGGAAGCCGGTGACCCCGAAGGGAGGACCTCTGTGGTGGCATCAATCTATGACCTCCATGAGGAATCTTGACAGGCCGCTACAAAAGAAACGTCGGGCTTGGATGCGGCCAGGGGGTCCGAGCTGGATGGGTTCCGAGAAGGTCAGTCAGGAGGGGGGGATAGGGGCAAATCCGCTGAGAGTCGGTTCCCGTATCCCTCTTGGGGTACATCTGTGCAATTTTTCACACCAAATCCGTTTTTGACGGTCCAAGGGCCCGAAAGCGGCTCCCTGTGACCGAAAGCAGCAACAAAACATCATCTCGAACCCAAGCCCTCGAACCTCGATCGTCCCCCGTCTTCCTGCTGGCTGGAACCGGTGCTGGGACATCTCAGACCCCAGCCGACTCCCACGTCGGGCACCAACAACTCTGGGACTGGCGGTCCTCCTCCTCCTCTTCAGACCGGGGGCCCTTTCCTCTCGCCGCTCCGCGGCACCTCTCTGGCGCCTCTCGCAGCGCGCACCGCCGACGTCTCCGCGCACGGATGCGGCAGCGGTGGCGCCACTCCTCCCGCCACCCCTCCGCCGGCCAGTGGGGCCTGGCAGCGCTCCCAGGATGCCCAAGTCGCACCAAAAACAGACGCCCGCGGTGCATTTTTGCTTCGACGCTCGGAACCTCGGGACCTCCTCCTCATCATCCTCTGAGCGGACGTCTCGGCGCGCGAACACCGCGGCCGCGGCACTTTGTTCTCTCGAGCCTGGCCATCGCCTTGCGCGATCGGACGACCTGCTTCGCGAGCGCCTTCACGCTCTGCGTCTGGCCCTTGTTGGCCATGGCGGTGATCTCCTTCTTGAGCTTCCCCTCCTCTTGCCTGTGCCGCGCACCCCAACACGTACAGCCATCGTGCTACGATGAGGAACGCAGAAGGAGGAGCGAAGAGGCTCTCCTGGCCATGGCGAGCCTCGGCTACGAATACTGAAGGGGCCCTGGGACACACACATAAATACACGCAAATGAAAATATTCCCCTATATCTTCCCATATTTTCTGGGTTTCTGTCTTCCCCCCCACTTCCCATATTTTCCTATATTTTCTGAGAGTCGACGAATAATTGTGTCTGTGTGGTATTTTCCCTCCTGAGACTAAGGAGCGAAAGGGGCCCTCCTGGCCATGGCGAGCCTCGGCTACGAAGACGCCCTCCGACCTGGACCCAGGGAACGGCCCGAGGGCCGGGGCCCCTCCCGAGTGCCAAGTGGCCCTCACACCTCAACTCAAAGGGGCCCTGGGACACGCAAATAAATACACACAAATAACAGGATTCCCCATATCTTCTTATCTCTTCCGAGTTTTTGTCTTCCCCTCCGCTTTTCCAATACTTTTCCACATTCTCCTCGGGAGCGACGATTCATGGTGCCTGTGTGCTTTTTTTCCCCTCCTGATCAACGTCTCGACTGTGGGGGTGCCGAGAATGCCTCGCTGCACAGCCCCCAAACCACCACCTCTGCTCGCACCTGCGCGGCAGGTGCGCGCGGGGCTGGGACGACGAGCACGCCGAGGGCAGGAGGGGGCGCTCGGCGCTCCGGCACGCCACCCGCGAAGGGCTGCGGCAGAGACCCGCGGCTCCAGGCCGGCCCCCAAGAAGGCCCCGAGCCGTCGTGCCGGCTGGCTCGCAGAGTGGCAGCTCCTGCGACCCTCGGGGCCGCTCGGACCTTGGACGCTCTCGTGGTGACACCTCGGGCCGCCCCTGGGCCTCAAGTGAGGCGGAGCCGAACCGATGCCGAACCTCAACCTCTGTCGGACCAGTCGAACATAGCGTGTCAACGGTTTGGACCCTCCCTGGAAGTGAGCGAAGCCAAAACAATTGAAGCAATCAGCACAGGCTTCACACTTTTAGAGCCGCCACCATGCCGCTGGGCACGGAGTGGGCGTGTCCTCAGGTCCTTTGCCTAGTCCCCTGAGCCTCAGTCCCCAATTCTACGGAGTCCATTTGGGGCCTGGACCCGAGTTTCCAACATTTCTTGGTGCTTGTCGCGTGCTCCCTGGGCTCCTCCGCATCCTGTCGCGTGACCTTTTCGGGCCCAAGAGGGCCCCAAGACGGGCCACGCGAGCCTCAAGAGGGCCTCTGAGAGGGTCCAAGAGGGTCCCGAGTCGCCGAAAGATCGCCCCAAGAGGCGCCAGATGGCCCCAAGACGGCCCACGAGGCCTCGAAGAGGCCTCCCAATAAGGCCCCCCCAAAGCCAAATCATTGATCTTCCGATTTGGGCATTCTCGCCGTTTCGGCTTCCCGACGCTCCAAGACGGCCCACGAGGCCTCAAAACCGCCCCAGGACGGCCCAAGAGGCCGCCAAGAGAGCCCCGTGACGGCCCAAAAAGGCTCCCAAACTGTCAAAGAGGCGCCCAAGACGGCCCAAGAGGGCCCCAAGAGGGCCCCAAAAGGGGCCCCAGAGGAGGAACACGAACAAACAAATCTAGCTTTCCGCCCAGACAAGCCCCCAGGAGGCTCCAAGAGGCGCCCAGATGCCCCAGAGGCCCCCAAGAAGCTCCAAGAGGCCCAAAAGAGGCTCCAAAACGGCCCCCAAGAACCTCCGGATAACGCCTGCGTCGCGATCGCCTGGCCGTTGCGTCCCTGCGAAAGCCCTAAAGCCAGTGGAAAAGGCTGCAAGGGGCCGCTAGCGTGGGGGAAGAGGAGGACGCATCAGCAAACAACGCAAACGAAATCGGAAACCGCACGTATCCACGTATCCTCTTCAGGGGTCGGCGGAATGGCGCAAGCTTTTTGAATGAAATATCGACGGATCCCCGCCCCCAATGCAAACTTTACGTCCACGGCCATTCGGCCACCAGTCCTCGTAAAGCCGATGGGTCCGCGCGCCCAAGACTACGACCTTTCGTCAAAGAAGGATGTGTCCCAGCTCCCGATGCCGCGATTCTTATACAGAGCGAGGAGGAGTCCCGGAGCTACAATCACGAGTAAACGACGCAATCCTGCGACTGAGTGCGGCAGCCAGGGCCCATTTCTTCAACTGGGGGAATCCTTAAATGCAAACACTGCTTTGGAATGCACAACATGAGTTCGCCAGCTCAGCGGGCTAAGCGCTTGCTGGAACCTCCGATACGAGGTTCAAAATTTCTGCAACTTAAAACTACTTTGTGGACCCCAGGAGTCCCCCGAAGGAAAGTACCCTGGGCAAGTCCCAGCAAGTCCCTGGCAAAGTCGGGTGAAAGATGCTGGAACTACCATGTGCGGGCTTCAGAACTTCAATAAAGCCACACGAGCGTTCCAAGACGGCTCCAAGATGCAACAATCATTCCCCCCAAAAGTGCTTGCACTTACGGGTTCTTGCTATGTGAATTGGATGGGCGCGGTCATGATTTTCACGTTGCCGCCCGTGGCCGCCTCGTGCGCAGGGTGAGTCCGGCGACGTTTCGCCACGTTGCCGCCCGTGGCCGCCTCGTGCGCAGGGTGGCTCCGGCGAGGTCTCGCCACGTGGCCGCCCGCGGCTGCCTCGTGGCCGCCAGGTGTCCGGCGAGATCTCGCCACGCTGCCGCCCGTGGCCGCCTCGTGCGCCGGGCGGGGTCCGGCGAGGTCTCGCCGCGTTGCCGCGCGAGCTGCTGCCTCGTCTCGTGGCCGCCTGTTGTCTTCGGCCGCTCGAGTGCCTGCTCGTTCCCCTTCCTCCCCCACCGCTCCCACTGACATCAAGGCTTGCGCCACATACAGTCGGCGCGTTGACCTCAGGGACCCCAAACAAGGAGCGAGGCCCTTTTATTCCCATGATCTAAACTTCGATTTCCCATGGAAAGCCGCAGGAAAACCTCAGGCAAACTGTACAACAATCAAGGAACACCGAGGGTTCCTTCTTCAGCGCCCCGACTGTAGCTTACACCAAGGATCTTACACCACAATTCTTGCAAAACGTTAGCGGAGCCACCCAAACTGCAGCAAATGATTGGCTTGCGCCACGTGTTCTACACCGCGGAACTTGCACCACGCACCTTGCACCACGCAGAATGCACCACATAGCTTGCACCACATCAATTAGACAACCCAATTTGCACCACAAAGCCTGCGCCGCGTTGGCTACGCCATTGACCTAAAATTTTGCCACATGTTAGAATTCTCGCTTTCCCGGCACCCCGACTGCCCCCCAAGATCGCTCCAAGACGGCCTCAGAGGCCCACTAGCGAGCTCAAGACGGCCCATGCGGGCATCAAAACAGCCCAAGGATCACCCGAGGGTCTCCGAGACCGCGACCAGGTTCTCAAGAGCCACCTCGAGAAGCCTCCAAGAGGCCCCAATAGACCGAATCTCCCAGGAGGCCCTCGACAAGCCTCCGAGAGGCCCTCGAGAGGCATCCCAACAGAACCCGAGAGGCATCAAACAGGCCTCTGACCCACGAACACTGCAAGGTGCAGGATACACCGACAGAACTTCGCTGGGGGCGTGCTTCATTCAGTGCTGCCCTGCAGCTGCCAGGCCACTGCTTCTCGCTCCAGCGAGATTCGCGCGACAACTCGGGAAAACGACCACCGCCCACCGCCTCCTCAGCCCACCACGAGTCCGCAGGCGAGCGCCGACGATGAAACAGCTAGGACAATATGGGCCGGAGGAGTGAGCGAAGCGAGTGCTTCTTTCTGCCTCTCCGTATCCCTTTTCGGTTTCGTCCGCTGTTCTCGACACCTTTGGGTGCCCTGTTGGGCTGTTTTCGGAGCCTCTTGGGGCCCTCTGGGGGGGCCTTTCTTGGGACCTTTTCCATGTCTTTTTGGACCCTCTCGGGCCGTCTTGGACACCTCCCACAAACTCCGCGTTCCAAAAAAGGTGGGGCGGCGGTGTCTGCCCCCTCAGGGGCGTTCAGTTGAAGACTGTAACTTTCTTTGCTTTCGAGGATTTTCGTATGAAGACTGCTTCGGGAAGGCTTCACATCGGCCCAAGACGCTCCCAAAAGTGGCCCCAGCAGGGCCGCAAAATGGCCCGAGAGTCCCAGAAAGCGACCCCATCACCGCCCGGGCGGCTCTGAGGACGGTCCAACCGAGCCGCCCAAGTAGGAAAGCTTGGAGAACCACCGCGCCAAAGACGGCCCCGAGATCCCCAACAATAACAAGCCCCCAGTAGGCACCCAAGAAGCCCCCATGAGGGCCCCACAATGCCCCCAGGTCTCCAAGAAGCCTCCGAGACTCCTCCAAACGCAACGCAACAATCATGCAATGTTACGGCTGCGCCACGCTACAGCACGTAGATCCGCTTCCTGCATGGCCCAGACCGGATCCCAACACTGGAGCAGGTGACACCCACCAGGACGCGTTCCTGTGGGGAGAATATATGACCACTCTTAGACCCTGTATGCTTATGGATACTGCGCTGGCATGGTGGCGGGGTTACCTGGGCAGATCAGCCTGATGTGAAAACAAAAAGACCATGTTGGGCACATTTGCCTATGTGCGACCGTGGCCAACTACTGTTACTACTGCTGCAACTGCTGCTGCGGCTGATGCTACTACATTCGCGCGGTGCAGTGCAAATGCTGACTACTTTTTGGTTCGCACTTGGTGGTCGACCTCGCAGCCGTGCGCAATGAGCAAATCGGAACGTCGATACGGACGCGACATGGGAGGTGACTGCAACAACCGTGCAGAGCAAAAGGAAGCAGCACAGAACCCAGTCGATATTGCTTCTGAAGCGAGAGAGCAATATCCGCCACCGTGCTCCTGTGGCACGAAGTGGAACGGGCCCATGTTCCTTCCTCGATCCCTCATGCCTCAATCCTGAAGATTCTTTGAAGGGCCCGGACCCCAACCTGCTAAATTGAAGGGGCCCTGGGACACACAAATAAATACACACAAATAAACAGATTCCCCATTTTTTTTTTTTTTTGGGGGGGGGGGGTTGTCTTCCCGCCCACTTCCATATTTTCATTTTTTTGGGAATCGACGATTAATTGTGTCTGTGTGTTTTTTCTCCTCCAGATAAATCTCCAGGGGCTTCCCGCGTGCCCCTCTGGGACTCCCGTCGTGCCTTCTGGTGCCTGGGGCCTGCTGTCGCGCGACTTGCTCGGGCCCGAGAGAGCTCCCAGACGGGCGAAGAGGGCCGCGAGAGGCCTCCTACACTTTTTTCACGGCAAGCAGCCAGGGGAGAAATAGTGACCCGCCGCCCCTCAAGAAGGCTATCCCGAACGCCCAACCCGAACGAAGACGACCGCAGGGCAGTGAAAGCAAACAACTGCAATAGCCCTGGACTCAGGCAGCGCGTTCCGTCAGGTCCGAAGCAAAAACCCTGGACAAGGGAAGCCACGCAATTGCGAGTGGCTCGGATGCTGTGCATCCGATTCCCGTTGTGCAGGGACAGTCGCAGGAGGAGGAAGGGGAGAGGAGAGAGAAGGAAGGGTAGCGTGCCACATGAAAATGCCCCTCGCGGCCATAGTAGCCATCGATATCACATAACGGACACAAGATGAGACAAGGCCAGGATGCGGCCCCGCGAGAAGCACAAGTAAGGGACCGCCCCCGGCTTCATCGTGCCTGAGGCGCGGTGAGAGCGCGAAATGCTAAATACTGCGGGACGGGCGGGGGGGAAGCTGGGGAGAAGAGGCGGAGGAGGCGGACGAGAGAAAAGGCGGATCAACACATCTAGTAGCAAGCCTTCCGGTTGCCGGCGAACGCCGGGCAGCGAGACGGATCGAGGACAAAAAAAGACGCCACGGGAAAACGCAGCAGGAGGAGGAGGAGGAGGAGGAGGAGGAGGAGGAGGAGGAGGAGGAGGAGGAGGAGGAGGAACAGGGGACCTGACACCAGGTGGCCAGGAGGGCACATCCGCCGCGGAGCACGGCGGTGGCAGCGAAAGCGCATGGTGCTCGGTACCCTGGCAAAACCCTGGCGGGGGAGATGTCGGCCACGTGGCCAGGACAGGGTCGCACTTCCCGGCTTCCGCATGTGGCAAACGTGGGGTGAGCGGCTGCGCACATGTGGCCCGACGCGATTGGGCGGAACGAGCGGAACCAAAGCACGCTGTGTAACCATGGCGCACGCCACACGGGAACGAGGGGAGGCCAGACACACGCCGCCCACCCTAACCCAACACGTCGACTTCACAAACTGGGGTCCCCCGGGCTCCAACCAAAGCGACATGGGCCTGAAAAGTAAAGCCGCTGCCAAAAACGCCACTCAACTGGAGGCGCCACAAGCCCAAGGAAAGCCGGGAACTGCCCCCCGACGACGACGACGACAACAAAGAGGGGGAGGGGAGGAGGGAAATGAGGGAGAAGAACAGGAAGAGGGAGGAGACCACAAAAGCAGCAAGACGGGGGAGGCGGAACGGCCCCCTGCCACCCCAGGCGTGGGGCCCTTGGATGTGGATGAGGGGCAGACAGATCGTGCCCCCTCTTGCGCACGAATATGCAAAAAATGCGACTCCATCGCGCGGCCAGCCAACAAAACTGTACGACTTCGTGACGCTTGGCACGGGCGTCGCATCGAGGCTGGCGCACCGTCTCTGTGACATGTGTCACGCTGGGTTGCATTGTGAAGCGAAGCGTCACGCGTGCGCGTGTCTCGGGAAACCGGCGCGAGCGCCACGGATAAACTGTAGCATCGCGCCGCGCACGGCCTGCGTGCGCAAGCCGCGGTGTCGGGTGTGACAGTGCGCCGAGCACAAGGAGTATAGCATGCCCACGTGCGGCGGAGGACGGTCACTTTGGTCGCGTCAGAGAATGCGGGGCGCAGCCCCAGGAAGCAGTCGCCCTGTTGCCTGGGCGGCGGCGCTGGTAGCCCGAGCTCGTTTTTGCAAAACTGCTGGAAGACGGGACAAAGGAAATAATGGCGCAAACCGTTTCTCGCGGCGCATCCGAAAATGCACGTGGAATCGCCTCCCCTGCGTTCCGCAGTGGTCCAACCGTCCAATCACGACAGGAGGGACGCGCGAATGCGCGCGGCGGCACAATCGCGCTGAGGTGCTGCAGCAAGCTGACTGCCCTGTGACGTCGGGGTACCCCGAAAGGGTCGCCAGGTCGACGCGGTCCATCTGCCGCAGAAGATGCCGAACCAAAGCTGTCAAACGCATGAAGATGGACTATATTTAACCACTCTCTCTGCCACCTCTTCTGCGCTGCGGTCTCTCGGTCCGCCCTACTGGGAGCGCCGGCCAGGCGGGTCATCGTGGCGACAACATCATGCCCACACTCGCGCGCCAGCCGCGCGGCAGCAGCCAGCTGGTGCAGAAATGACGCGTCCCACCAGCGACCCCAAGCCACAGCGCGGTCTGGGAAGCTGCAAGCGCTGCGGGCACGGCGAAGTGCAGTGGAGCGAAAGTTGACCCGAAGGACCTCGTTGCGACGATCCTCCCCTTCAGCCGCGCGGCGCTTGCCCGCCAGCGCCGTCTCGTGGATGTTCGCGAGGTCCACTGGGCTACCAACAAAGTTTTGGAGGGCGCGCGAGAGCGAAGGTGGTCGCCAGCGTGGGGGGCTGCGGCGCAGCACCGCGGATGCCCTGCGCTCTGCGTCGTCGAACTCGGCAGGCATGCGGTCCGACAGTTGCAGGAAGATCGGGGCGGTGCGCATGCAGACAATGGAAGGCTCCACGCCCAGTCCGTCCCCGAACCCTCGTTCGACCCGCGTGCTTCTGAAACGCCTCGCGCCGCGTGAGCGAGACGCACTGTGGGCCGTGGACGCAGCCCAAGTACTTCGCGCGGTGCAGGATGCTGAAATCGGCAAGCGTCGGCGCGACCCGCGCGAAGAGCTGCCAGACCTGGTCCGCGGCGGCTGAGCGAAGTGGCGCCACTGCAGTTTTGCCTCGGTGTAAGCGGAGCCCCAACAAGGCCTCGCACTCCTCGACGACGCGCCCCAACGCGGGGGCCGTCGTCTCGATGTCGTGCGCCGCCGCGGCCACATCGTCGGCGCGCGCGCGCGCCTGCGCGAATCAATGGCCATCCCGGCGATGCGCCGCAGCAGCAAGGCGGCCACCGCCAAAAACAAGACTGGAGATGGAGGGCCCCCCTGCCGTATTCCGGCCTTGTGGTCGAAGCCTCCGGGATCGGACCCCGCAGAGAGACAGGGGGCCATCGTTCGCGAGTAGAGGGCGCGGATGAAGCGGAGACTGGGAGGCGGGATGGCGATGGCGGCGGAACATATCGAAAGGACAGTCGCGGCTGACCGACGGGAGCAGCGCGGCGAAGTCATAGAAATCAGCCGCGCTGTTCTGCTGCGTCGCCTCGTCGATGTCCACTGCGTTCGCCAACGTTGATCGCCCGCTGATGAGGCCGCGCTGCTCGCTGGACGCATGGTCGACGAGCGCCGCCTGTGCCCTCGACCGCGCCCATTTTGCCGAAGGGAGGTTGTCGGCAATGGCGACGTTGAGTGGGCGGGTGTTTGCTGCCCCCAGCACGTCGCCCCCGTCGGGCGTTTTTTCAATGGCCGCCTTCGGCAGTAATGCCATGCAATTGTGGTTGAAATTCGCGTAATCGTTCTCCATGAGATGCTCGCCGTCTCCGGGCAGCATTGCCTGGGGGGCCTCGTGCAGGGCGTCAACGGCCAGCTCGCCCAAGGCGCGCCGCGCGCCGAAGGGGGTGCCATTGGGCCCGGGGGCGGAATTGCTGGCCACCTGAACATCGTAGCGTTGGGTTGGCCACCTCGGGCCCGGCGGGTCGAGGGCCCTACCTTGTTCCAACGCGCTCGTCGTCCTCCAGCCACCCGGCCTCGTGTTGAAACGCGTCTTTCCAGTGCTCCTCCAGCCTCGAAGCAGTCCCATCCGGAGCGAGATGAGCGCGCCCCTTGCGGTCTTTCACCCCGTTGAGGCCGCCCTTCCGACGGGGGCAGATCCGCGATGGCAGCCTGCAGTTTTTTTTTGGTTCTTGTGTCTGATTCGAGACTGCGCCGGCGGGCCTAGAGCGCCCGCGCCACCCTGCAGCCTCTGCGGGCCGTCCGCGGCGATTCCTTGAACCAGCGCGACGAAGGGGCCCAGGGGCACACGAAGAAATACACACACAAATGCTAATATACCCCTACGACGGCGCTGCTGGCTGAGGCCATGTCCAGCACTGGGGGCCAAGGTTGCCCATCCCGAACCGGACGATGTCCGTGGCCGCAGCCAACTCCGAACGAGGAGGCCCGACGCGCCAGAACAATATCGGTCATAATATGTCCTGCGAGCGCGGCCGATATTCGGGCCACCGGCTCGGTGGCGGGAGCCCCTCGCTGTAGGGGGGCAGCGCGCCGCCCCCAATCGTGAAGCGCGGCCAGAACGAGGAGCAAGGATGGGGGGGGGGGGGGGGAGGAGGAGGAGGAGGAGGAGGAGGAAGAGGAGGAGGAGAAGGGGGGGGAGGGGGAAGGGGGAGGAGAGAAAACACGGCGACCAGACACGATCATGCAGGGGGGAAAAGGGGAAGGGGACGGCAAGGGCAGCAGCAGGCAAGCAGACGCGCAGGGGGCGGGCGGGAGGCGGGGGGAGGGGCGAGGGTCGGCGGAGGTCGTCGTGGGATTCCGACAAGCCTGCAGCATGGACAAGTCCCCCTCCGCTGCCAGGCACGGCCCCCCGTGGTCGTCTGGAGAGCGGGATTTCGATGCCAGCGCTCGCCGAGGGCCGTGCGTGGCCATTTTCGGCCGCGCGGATGAACCGCATAGTTTCGCCAAAGCGGCGCCCCTTTTCCGCGGCCCCCTCGCCGAAGGCCCAACCGCGCGTCGCGCCGTCGTGCTTCGTGGAGTCCTTGAGGATAACGAGGCGCCGCGCGGTCGAGTGGGAACTGGTCGACGCGGTCACCGAGCTCGAAAACGTCCGTCCGATTCCAATCCGGGTCGCGGTGGGCTTGCCCTGGAGGTTGCCGCTCGCTGCCCGCCATGACCTGTGGGCGACGACGGGGGAATTCAAGGGCGCAAGGGGGGGGGGGGCTGCGGGGCGCAGTCGTGAATGCTGCGCTAGACCTGATGGTCCAACTGCTCCGCAGCGTGCTGGTTGCAGTGAAATCGATCCAAGCGGGGCCGTGCAGTGGGGGCTGAATGCGTCGTGTTCGGCTTCCGCATCTCATGGGGCCCATGCCAAGCAGCAACATTATTCTGCCATTGGGTATGCTCGCGAAAACCCTGGCTTCCCCATGCCACGGCGGGGCTGGGGGCGCGTTTGTCTGCGTCCTCCGCGACGTGCTTGATGTCGCCACCGACCGCCGCCAGGGCAGTTGCGGCGGCAGCCATTTCCCAGGCGACTCGCGCCAGGGGGGCGCGTTGTAACGCGGCAGGGGCTGGCTACCGTGGTCGCGCGCCATCCCGAGCGTCTCGCAATCTTCTGGCACCGCGTCTGACCCTGCCGGGAAGTGCACCGCCCCTGCGTCAAGAGCGCCGTGCTTGCCCCGCAATTCGAGAACGGCGGCGAGGCCTGGCGTGGCGACCCACCTGTGTTCTTCACAATAATGCCGGCTCCGGCGCGGCTCGTAGAGCGCCGAGGCGCCCGCCGATTTTCGACCGGGTGGCGCCGGCCAGGCCGCGATGCCTCCATCGGGCCCGTGGGGCTCCGTCCAGCGCCCGACGTCCGCCGTCTGCGTCGAACGGTGGACGCGCGCGGCCTTGCTGGAATGCTTGGTCGCACCGGTCGCGAAGAGAGCCTGCGTGTTTGAACTGGCCAGGGCGCGCGCCAACGGATGGCGGGCCCGCGACTGGCCGAGGGCGCGAGCGGGGCACTGGGGAAGCGGCGCCAGAGCAAGCCTGGCCCAACGCCCTGCGGAACCAAACGCGTCGGCACATGCAGAGTGGCGCGTCGTCGCGCCCGCGCGTGTCGGAGCGCCGAGGGGCCGCCTGGCCGCCCCCGGAAAGCGGCGCCAGAAGAGCGGGGGGAAGTCGAAGAGGCCGAGGATGAACAGGGGCGTGCCCCGCGGGGGGCCCGTGGCGAGGGTTAGGGTAAGGTGGGGAACGAAAAGCAAGACGTGATCATGCGATCCCGAACGACCGGGGGCTGCAAGGACGCGGGCCGCGCGGGCTCGGCACTGGCGCGGCGCGGAGCGCGAAGGCGACGTCCAGCGCTCAGAAGGCGCGATCGTCGAGCCCAAGAACTTGAACTCCGATTTTTGCGCCGGCCTCGGATGGCGCCGCCGCGGAGCGGAAAAGGGGCGCGCCTGCCTCCTCCCCCGCTGGCCGTTTCTCGGGATGGCCTCCGTGGCCTCGCTGCGGGCCGCGATCGAAGCGCGGTCGGCCCCAGCCTCAGCGGTCTGGTTATGGGGGGTGGCGTGAACCAGGGGGGCCTCCTCCAGCGAGCTCGGGTGGATCCGAAATCTTTCTGGCGGGGCCTCCAGGCATGTCCTCCTCCCTGCGCGCTCCGCCCCCCCTGACTGCGACGCGCGGTCGCTCGGCGCCTCCGGGCATTGCGGCGGGGGCGGGCATTGTGGTGGCTCGCGACAGCTCGCATCACCTCGGAGTCCTCCCGGCCCGCCTCGCATTGCGCGCGGGCCTCCGTCAGGTGCTCAATCGGACAGTTCGCCCGCGTCGCCCTGCCTTTCTGCCGCCGTGATGCTGTCGGCTGGGCGGTCGCAGCCTCGGGGCGACGTGCGGGCGGTCTTCCTGCGCGGAGGCTCGACGCTGCATTCGCGCGACCGCCTTCTCCGGGCATTCCCGCAGGAGGTCGTTCAAGAGGGGCCGCGCTGCTACAGGCGAGGCGTATTTCCTGGGAACAATGCCTCCAGCTGCGCGCGAGGGATGTTCGCCGTAGACAGGGGGCTCGACGATGGGGCTCCTGCGCGTGACGTCCTGGGAATCAATCGGCCAGACGCGACGCGCGCGCGATCCTGGTGGGGTCGTCGGTCGGCAGGTCGACGTAGACGGGCCCCGCGGCCGACTCGCGGGAGATCGGCGCGGGCGTCGCGAGCGCGCTCGGCAGCGCCCGTAGGCCGGCATGCTTGATGGCGAAGGCCGCGAGGCCCGGGCGGACAAGCCGCGGCCCCGTCCAGCCAGCGACGACCAGCTCCAGAGACGTCGCTGCGAAGGCACCGCCGCGCACCTGGGCGAGGTGCGAGGGCGCGCCGATCAGCGCGGGGCGCGCCCGCAAATTGGCGATCTTCGTTGCGGAGTCCATGCCCGGGCGGCGCGCGGGGGTCGGCGCCGCCGAACGAAAGAGGGCAGGGCGTGCGTCGTCCGCGCGACAGAGAAGGCTGGCCAGGATCTGGGACAACGCGCAGCCATCCTCAGGGGCCCAGGCCGCCGTCGCCCTGCCCGCCAAGGAATCCAGGGCCGTCTCGCCCCCCGTCTCGAAGCGATCGGCCAAATCTCGTGCGCCGCGAAGGGCTGCCAGGAAACCGCGCCGATGACCGAGGGCGCTGGGCCATTGCGTCGAACGGGCCTCCGAACCCACAGCCGCCGAGCGGCGGGGCATCTGGGGGCTCTCCTCGCCTGGCCCCCTCTAGACGTGGGGGTGCTTGGGGGACTTGGTCTGCCCGCGCTTGCTAAGCGCCTCCCCCAGCTGGTCGCCGCAACCCTCGGCGGCGGAGGCGAACTTATCCGCCGCCTCCTGCGCCCTGGCCATGTCCGCTGCGGGCCAATGCGAGGGCGCGCGGCCCAATCTCGCAGAGCCGTCGCGCAGTCCGGGCCCCCGCAGCGATCGCCATCGCCGACGGCTTCGGGCCCTCCAAGGCCCGAGGGCCCATCCGCTGCCCACTGCAGCCGGCCGTCGGATTGCAGGCGAGCTTCCTGGGGATTGTCTCCATGTCCGCCCAACCGATTGGGCAGAGTACCTGTGGCGACGCGCTGCCAGGGTCTGCGCGCTGAGCTGCGCGGACAAGGTCCATGTGGACTAGCGCATCGTTCTCGATCGCGCGTCAATGGGCCGTGCCACCGCCTCCCCGCCGCCCTCCTCATCGATCTCGATGGCACCTATCGCGGCCAGCTCCGCGTCCATATTGTCGTAGTCGCCGATGCAAGGGCCGGCCATGCCCTGCGTCGCGCCCGAAACCGCAACTTCAGTGTCCATGCTCTCTGGCGGAGCGTGGTCCTGCCCTGAAGCGGGAAGCCCCGGCGGCAGGTCCAGCCCAGCCGCCCCGCGCGAAACCGTGGCGGGGCATCCCCTGCCCGCGGCGCCGGCAGCGGCGCATCTCGTCGGCCTAAGCGGGGCGCGCGCCAAATAACTGGCACGCCGCATGTGTGCGCGCCATCGCACGCAGTGACGGGAATCTGAGAGGGATGGAGTGCGATAGAAGGAGCCTGAATGCACCTTGAACCAAGCTTGAGCCAAGGAGCCTCCAATGCGATCCACGAGGGCCTCGAATCGCCGAGTGATCGGTCCAAGACGCTAGAACATTGCTCCAAGACGGCCCAAGAGGCCTTCGAGGCGCCCCGAAAGAACCCCCACAGCCTTCCCAAGAGGGCGCCGCGAGGTCAACATCGTTGATGTCCATTTGTTTTTTCCAGAATATCTTTTGGGTGCTCGACTTTTCGAGCTTCCGACGCTCCTCAAACGGCCCAGGAAGCTCACGAGACCGTTGCAAGAAGTCTCAGCGAAAGCCCCAAAAAAGGCCTTAGAGGCCCCCAACAGAGGCCCCAAATGACCAGGCATCAAAACGGCCGTCTAGAACCTCCGAGAGGTCTCCCACGTAGGTCAAATAATGTACTTCCCGTAAGCATTTGAAAAATTGTTGCGTGTTTTTTTTCGGCCTTCCGACGGCCCAAAAAGCCCCGAAGATCGCACCAGCGAGGCCACAAAGGCCTCCCAAATGGCCCGAGGACGGCCCAAGAGGCATCCAAGACGGCCCAAGAGGCCTCCAAAACGCCCAAGATGATGGCCTCCGAGACGGCCCTGAATCGCCACAAGAGGGCCCCAAGTCGGTTCAGAGAGGCATCCAAAACGGCTTCCGACGGCGTCAGACGGGCGATGAACGCCCGAAGACGGCCACAGCGGCCCCGAACAATCCCAAAGGCTCCCCAGAGGCCCAAGGAGGACCCCAAAAGGCCTCCAAGAAACCCCTAAGAAACTCCCAGGAGACCCCAAGAGTGCCCCAAGAAACTTTCAAGAGGCGTCCTCCTCCTTCTTTTCCTCCTGCTCCTACTCCATTTTCCTTCTTCTCCTCAATTTCCTCTTCCTCACGTGTTCTCCGAAAGGTTTCAAAGACAGCTGGGGGAGCACATGGTCCGATATCTCTAGCCCAACTTTCAGCCACATAACCGCTTTCCAAAAAGGCAGGGGGCGGCGGTGACTCGCCGTAGGCGTCTTTGAACAAAACATTGAAACAACACAAATAAATAATCTTCAAGGAACAACGGATGTACCATATCGAGCCATGAGCACCTCGTCAGCGTGACCTCACGAGAGCAACTCCTGCGCAAGCCCTTTGAGTGTGCTGAATGAAGTTCCGGTGCCATGCACGAAGCACACGGGGTTCCCAGTCACCTTGTTTTTAATGACCTTGCTTCCCGAAACGACTTCCACTTCGACGGGGATACCAGTGGTCGTGTCTTCAAGCTTCATGTTGTGTAGAGACATCACCAAAACGCCAGCGAAATCGAGAGCGACCTTGTCGGTGTTACGGAGGTAATACTGGTTGATCAGGCGATTCTCTGTGTCGGCCCAGGTGGGCATATCAGCAAGCATCTCTTTAATATCCCCGACAGGGCCCATGATGAAGCTCGGGTTTGCGAACTGATACTTGGGCGGACTGTCACAATACCCGGTGGAGCAAGCGGCGTGAATTGTGGCCCAGTCGGTTGCAACACCTTCAGCAGTCAGGCACCCGGTCCTGAGTGCATCGACAACAGAGGCCCTCAGCTCGTAAGAAGCCCCCATGTCCGCATGCAGAGGGCTCACCTCGGCGGCCATGACAATCGTCTGCGTGCCGCCGTTCGCTGCGATGATCTGGTTGTACTTCGAGAGGACGGTGCTCTCGTCGCAACCAGCAAACAAGACCTCTCCTGGGGGGCGACAAGGTAATTAGCGATGCTCCTCGGGATTCCCGAACGGTCTCCGAGTCGAAGGGAGACACGGGCGAATCCGTGGCGTGGCCCCGGGGGGTGGGGGGGAGGGGGTCGGGCGTTGTTTTGATGTGGGTGGTCAATGCACGAGGAGGAGGGGAAGGAGGAGGACTAGGAGGAGGGACGATGAGGAGGAGGAGGAGGACGAGGAGGAGGAGGAAAAGGAGGAGGAGGAGCAGGAGGAGGAGGAGAACCAAAAGGTACTGAGGCCGCTGCCTCCCGGACCTCTCCCCGGGGCGCGCTCCGACCAGAGTAGTTTCGAGGAGGAGCCAGCTGCGGCGACGAGAGCTCCCCAGGACGAGCAGTGGCGTCGGTGACTCTTCCTCCGCGGGTCTCCGCTGGCGTGGACGGCCATCAGATCTGCGTCGCCCTTCGTGTCCATCCAGGCCTTCAGGGCAAAGTACCTGTGCCTCTGCCACCCCCAGACCGTCGTGGCGCCCGTCGGGTTCTCCACCCCGTTCAGGTGCCTCACGGCCCGGCCCCCGACGCCCCCCGTGCGGTAGCTCGGGGGCGGCTGCGTGGCGTTTCTGGTCTCCGCCACGAGGATCCTACGGATGGCGACCGCAGGCGTGCCTCCGCGGCGCGCCCAGGGGGGGGGGGGGAGGCGGCAGGTCGCGGGCCTTCTCGGAAGGCTCAGCGGGCCTCTGGCCTTCTCCGGAGCCCCCTGGGCCCCTTCCCGAGGCCGCGGAGGGCTCTCCCAGGAGGCCCGAGGGCCTCCGAGAGGTCCTGCCGCCTCCCGAAAGGGCCTGCCCCCCCTTTCACTTCGGGGGCGCGGGGTCGGCGCAAACCTTGGGTCGGCCACGGGCCCTGTCGCGCAGCCCGGGCGGGCCGCTGAGTGGCTCCCCAGACCAGGTCAGCGGAGGGCGGGAAAATGCCAGCCTCGAAGGTATCCCTGTCCCCAAGATTGACACGCCAAAAGGCGATGACAATCTTAGGGATTCGCCCTCAAAAAATAAGGGAATCCCTAAGATTGGCATCGTGATGAGGAGGTGCCCAGCATAGGGGTAGGGATATGTTCCAGGCTGGTAAGGAAAGGGGGATCGGTCCCACGTGGCTCCGAAGTTCGAGTCGGCCACAAGGGATCGGCTGACCATCGGCAGCGCTCACCCCCGTTGCGTGAGCCCCGATCGCTTCCCCCTTCGGCGCGCCGCCGAATACCTGTGGTCTCGAGAGAGCTCTCGGCCACCTCGAGCTCGTAGGCCGGCGCGAATGGGTGCTCCGTGACGGTGCCAACGTCTCTGTCAGACGGGGTGTTGACGATGACGTCCCAGGGGGGCGGCAAGTCCTGTTCGGGGTTGGCCAGCACCTCCTCCGCGAGCTCGGTCGTCAGGGCGTCGCCCTCGCCTGCTGCGGATACGATACGATACGACTCGCCCTTGGGATGGCAGGTAACAGAGAACAGCACAACAGAGTAGTGAGGCTCGAACACACTGGGCTTCACCTCCCAAGAGCAGGCAGGCTCGCAGAGGCGCTTTGGGACTCTCGAGCCTTCTGGGCTAACTTTCCGAGTCCAGCCTATTCGGTCTAACCCAATGACGCGGCCCTGGGCAGAGCTAGTGTTGGTCGTGGAGGAACGAAAACGTGGAGGGTGACTACGAGGAGGGAGGCCGAGGGCGAAGAGGTTGACGACCAATAAGAGGAGTCCGACTCTGCCTCGCTCTACCCGCTCACAGGGCGATGGCAGGCGGCCGCGCGCTCTCAATATAGGAGGAAGCCAGCCAGACACTAACAGGGGAGTTGGCCAGGCGCATCCTCGGCCCTCGATTGGTGTATATGCCCTCGTGGCTTGGGCAGGGGGGAATCTGCACCGATCCTGGGCCAGGATAGGTTTAGGTGTACGGTTGGTGACGTTCATCAAAAGGGAGGCCCGCGAAGATGAGACAGAGGAGGACGAGCGGCAGGAGAGGGGAGGGAAACACGTGGAAGACGAGGAGCGAGGAGGCGCCGACCAAAATGGCGCGCGATCCTGACGATCCCTTTCCAATCTTGGGAGCAGGGTGACTTCTTCCAGGAACTCCGAACCCCTCGAGACAATACAATAATGGTGAACATCAACACAAACTCGTACTTTCAAGCATCCAGAAACATAGGCCATGCTTCTGCCACAGACCCAGGGTCTCCCGACATAGCACTTTTCTCTAGTGGACGGACGCTACATGCCCAACTCACATCAAATCCCACCAGCCCTCTGGGCGAAGGTGGTTTAACGAACTTCGTCATCCCTCTGCCCAAACTTTTCCTTCCCCTGCTCGAGGGAGGGTTTTATCACTGATCCTTATTCGTCTACACCCCCTCCCCCAGACGACTGGAAGCCAACCCGAGATCATGCGCCCCCCCCTCCCTTGTAAAAAACAATCCAAAACACACCCTGCCTCCAAATTCGGAGCATGTGCAGCGATCCCGATGCGGCCTCCCCCCACCATCCTTGTCAAGTAACCATACAGAGTACACTTGGCGGAAGCGGCGGCTGCGGCGGCTGCGGAAGGGGCAGCGGCTGCGGCGGTGGCGGCGGCGGTGGCGGCGGCGGGGGCGGCGGCGGCGGCGGCGGCGGCAGCAGCGGTGGCGGCAGCGGCTGCGGCGGCAGCGGCTGCGGCGACGGCGATTCGGCAGTGGGGGCGGCGGCGGCGGCGGCGGCGGATTCGCCCCCAGTGGCGGCCCATCCAATCACGACTGCTTAATATGCTGAGGCTCGGGCCAGGCTCGGGTGCTACGTACGTGTTGGGAGGGCGCGTGGGAGTGAGCGGGGCGGCTTGCGGGCGGGGAGGGAATATTGACTCCTCCCCCCACCCCCTCCCCTGGGCCTGTGAGGGGGGGGGAGCCGGGCAGTTAGAGCGCCCCAAATGGCCCAAGATCGCGCCCAAAAGGCCTCAGAAACCAAAATGGCCTGCAACATGACTCACTCAAAATACCTCGATGTAGTTCAAGACAGCCTCAGGCGAAACCCAGCTCCCGCTCTGTTGTATCGTAGTAACGATAGTCCCAGTAGTATGGGGGGCGAGCCATCTCAAGCAATTGTGGAATCGATGGCAAATGGTACACCTCGCGCTGAAGTGTAGTCAGATCTGGGCGGCCGGCCGCTTTGAGCCAAGCAGCCGCGGATGCACGCTCGTTCCCACTCACATGCAATACCCAACTCACTTGGGTCGGGGGGGGAGACGAAGCGTGCATCCGCCGCCTTTTCTACAGCAGGTACAGTATTGACTACTTACAAAAGGGGCAGCAAAAAGGGCGGGGCCGTAAGGAAGGTGGGCCCGCACGCAAGTTGCCTTGCCTGTACCATACTGTGCATACGAGTACTCCTCAGGCGGCTACAGAACGAGATGTCTGGCCAGCCCGATAGGGAGTATAACGCTTTAAGTCATGCTTGAAGGATTGTGTACCTCCCATGACCAGTGGGGGCATTTCTCTGTCGATGCTCCCCTTGGTGTGACCGTCCGCAGTCATATCGCGGGTGTCGCACCAGTGAATACTGTGCACGATTCCTCGCTCCATCATCTGTCGTATCCAGCTGATGTGTCCTAACAGGGTGCACCCAGTCGGCTTCTGCAAGTCTTTACCTGACAAGGACTTTAAAAACAGACTCAGCATCTATGGTCAAAGTGACCTCGATGCTCAGGCCACCCAACTCAAGTATGCTTTTCAACCGGGTGGGAGTTAGCGGCCCTGCGTGGAGCTCGTGCAGAGTCGCGATCGTGGGATAACAGTCCTCCAACTTGTTGGCTGCTGTTAGCGTCTCTGCTGAATTGCTCGAGCGGACCTGCAAGCGGTGAGACTTGCAGTGCGCATCGATCAAGTGAACGACGGGCTTGCCGGATGGCGTGCTTCCAAGCTTTGCAGGGGTGCCCCGCGATAGCCTTTGACTTAGTCATCGGCATCTCCACGCAGGCGTCGGTAACCTGAGTCGCTGTGCAGGTCAACCTCGCCCGTGGGGGTCATCGCCTGGCAGGCGATCTTCTTAGGGCAGGCCTGCAGTTTCCTGGTGATCGCGTTCAGTCGTTGCACTTGTATATTGGTCGGTTCTTGGACACGTTATATTGGTCGGCTTGTGGACACTCGCACTGGTCATATTGGTCGCTCATTTCGGCACACTTCTCATACGTTTCGTGGCCCCATGAGGAGCGTCACCGAAAGCCCCCGTGGCTGCGTTCGCATCCGCCCACCGCGCCAATTTCGGCACACCCCTCGCATGATTCGTGGCTCCATAAAGAGCGCCACCGAAGGCCCCAATGGCTGCGTTCGCATCCGTCCACCGCGCCCATGTCGGCACACCCCTCACACGTTTCGTGGCCCAGCAGGGAGCTCCACCGAAGGCCCCAGTGGCTGCGTTCGCGTGCGCCCACCGCACCAATTTCGATACACCCTCACACGTTTCGTGGCCCCACAGGTAGCTCCACCGAAAACTCTAGTGACTACGTACGCTCGCATGCGCCAGTCGCACGCATGTCGGCACACCCCTCACACGTTTCGTGGTCCCACAGGGAGCTCCAACGAAAGCCCCACTGGCTGCGTTCGCATCCGCCCAACGCGCCCGTTTCGGCACAACCCTCACACGTTTCGTGGCCCAGCAAGGAGCTCCACCGAAGGCCCCAGCAGCGTTGCTCGCATGCGCCCGCCGCACCCGTTTCGGCACACCCCTCACATGTTTCGTGGCCCCGTGAGGAGCGCCACCGAAGTTCCCGGTGGCGGTGTTCGCATGCGTCCGCCCACCCCATGTCGTCTTACCACTCGCACGTTTCGTGGCCTCATAGGGAACGCCACCGAAGGGCTCAGCAACGGTGTTCGCATGCGTCCGCCCCGCCTGTCTTGGTACATCCCTCGCACATTTCGTGGCCCCATCGGGAGCTCCACAGAAGGCCCCAGTGGCGTTGTTCGCATTTGTCTGTCCCACCTTTTTCGGCATACCCCTCACATGTTTCGTGGCCCCATAGGGAACTGCACCGAAGGCACCGCTGGCTGCGTTCGCATGCGCCCACCGCGCCCATTTCGGGACATTCCTCACACGTTTCGTGGCCCCACAAGGAGTTCCACCGAGGACGATACTCACAACTGCATTGCGTTGGGTCCTGAGCCAAGCAAATCATTTTCGTCGTGCGTGATCTCGCCATCACCTAGATTGGGTTAAACCGGCCACAGCCCGAGTGGGCACCCCGCATTAAGGAATGCTCCACGGACGTACCAAAACCATCAGCAACACGAGGCGACAGCATTGGGCCGCACCATGACGAATGCTGACATGACGAGGCACGCGATCTGTTTGTGGAACCTACGTGAGGGGTCCCACGTGCTGCACGCCACAGCGGCCAGTCTGTGGCAATACTCGAAAATATAAAGTGGACGAGAATTCTGACGGAAGAGGGGGCGGGAGGGTCGAGGAAGACGGAGACGGAGACCAGCAGGGCTTTGTTAAGAACGAAGGCCCATTCTAAAGAGGATTAGGTGCAAAGCTGTTTCGAGCAGCAGGGAGAGGAAGGGGATGGTGCTTGAGAGGAGGGAAGCCTGAAGGTGTAAGGCACACATAAAACTCGTGCGTGCGTAATCGCCCAGCAAGTCGCAAAAACTGTGACCGGACATCGCAATATTCCGCAACGAGTCGGGAAGATGGGGACCCAAGAGACAGAACGGGCGGGGAGGCAGACAAATAACCCGTCTGCAAGGGCCTCGAGCTGGGGCACATGATCCAAACAATGCAGCTGCCGATGGTGAGCTGTGTGGCAACAACGGCTGGCAAGGCAACTCCGACGGCGTTGCCGATGGCGGCACGAGCTGCCAGCGTACTCCGAGCATGGCGGCTGAGCGCAGCTAGATTGGGATGCAGTGTTCATACGACAGCATGACACAATGCACATAAGACATTGAAAAAATCTCAGATGCCCTCTGACGATGGCAACGACAAGGAGGAGGAGGAGGAGGAGGAGGGGGGAAGGAGGAGAAGGAGGAGGAGGAGCAGGCAGATAGCCTGGGCATCAAAGGCTCAACGCGTTGGACGGGCGGGGCTAGGCGCGCCGCTGCGGGAACCAAGGACCAGCATCCTTGCGCTCGAAGTCGTAGCTACGGGCTTTTCGTGGTCCTCGGAGTCGTCATCGCTGTTTACGTCCTCGTCGTCTGAGTCGCTTCCCTCGCTGCTGTCGTACTGCCTCCAGTAGGTGTCGTCGTCCTTCTCGTTGAGCGTCCCCGCCTGCCTCCTGAGCTCCAGAACGTACTTTTCCGCCTTATGATCGACGTAATCCAAACTTGCCGCACATACCAACGTGCCGACTATGACAACCACCGTCCAACCCCAAATCGACAATAGGTCGAATTGAGTCGTGCTGCCGCAACCGAACCACGATTTGGCGAAGAACATCCAAGCCCATCCAGCGTTGACTCCCGTTACCATAAGAGCCGTCTGCCTGATCTCGGGAGTTACGTTGAGGGTCATCTTGAAGATATCCAGAATTGCGTTCACGGCGATGCAGAGAAACGTTATCAAACAAGCTCGGCAGAAGAAGTGTGTCTTGTGCAGAGGGTCGCATTCATCATCTTGGTTACCCAACACCAAGTCTATGCAGGGTTTGAAAGTGTCAGTCAACCATGCTTCCCATGCCCACGCGATCACGAAGTCGTAGGCTTTGTCAATGAATCGGACGCTACCTGCCACGCACATGTTCAGGTTGGGTTTTCTCGCCAACCACTTTCTGATCACGATCTGTGTTGCCACGATGACCACGGTAATGAACACCGTGTAGAAAGTTCGGAGGTGCCAGCTGAAAGGGCTATCTTCGAATATGATCACGAAGACTTTCCAGAACGCCGATCCAGTGCCAAGACCCATGCATGTCTCGAGAGACTTGAACACCTGCTTCAGGTAATCCCAGCGGCCGCCCTGAAGAGTGTCGACAGCCGCACGCGCGACAACCTGGATTGTTGCGGCCACACATGTTGCGCACAGGAAACACATAACATTCCACCATGCAGTAGGTCTGATCAACTCTGTAAACACTTCCTGAGTCTTTACCACTATCTCTGGTGCGCTTGCGTTCGTTTCATTGCCATCCTCGTCGATGACGGTATCGTTTGCATTTCCTCCTCCACCAGTCAAATTCGAGATGGTGCTTACCCCAGTACTGATGACGTTGAAGCCTGCGTTGATTACTGGTTCTAAGCCGAAGCTCTCTGCGACTGTTTCGGTTTTATTGACTACACTAGCAGTGGTGTTCTCCACAGTCTCAATAACAATTTTGTCATAGTACATCGTCACATATTCCAGCGATTTATCGACGAAGGCCTTGTATGCCCACGCTGGGATGAAGACCAAGCCAGCGGCGTAGAAATTAGACATCTCCGCAGCAACCGCTGCAGATTCCGCGGCGTCCAACCATCCTGCAGTTATGGAACGAGCGACTCCGACAACTTCTTCCACATCAGCCATACTAGACGTGCCCAGAAAGCCTGACCAGCCACTGCTCGATACTAGGAGAACGAATAATGGTATAAACATAACAACTCGGAGGTCCGTGCGGAATTCTCAGTTCGGCGCTGGACCGGAGGCGCCGCTAAGGGGGTCCAGCGCCGATCCGAGAAGTCCGCACGGACCTCCGAATTTTATGTTTATGTCATTGTTCGTTCCCCGAGATACCATGTAGGCTAGAAAGGATGCAAAGAGCAGCAAGAAGAAGAACGTGACAAATGAATACACCAAGAACTCCAAACCATGCCGTGAAGCGTATGCTGGTTCCAAAAGCGTCGCAGGATCCTTTCCCAGCAGTCGAGCTTTCCCAATCCGCCGACACCCGGTTGCCGAAGGTGAAAAGGCGTGTGAGACATTTGGCTGTCCCCCTCCTCCTTTCCCCTCCCCTGGGGGTCCAAAATGCCATTCTAGGGGGGGGGAGGCAGGCGACCCCAGAATCGAATCAATAAGTCGGATCGGCGATCGAAATGAATCGGATAGGCCTCCATTGAAAAATCAGAGCCCACATCGGAATCCGAAGTCGAATCGAATCGGAGGAATCGTCATGAGCCCAGGGGTAGGGGGGGGGGGGGGACGAGCTCGTCAACGCCCCCCCAGGCCTCTGGAGCCTCCAAGACATCCCAAGGCAGCCCAACAGGGCCAAGGCAGAGCGCCAAGACAGTCGAAGAGAGCGTCATGACGGCCCAGGATAACCCCACGACGATCTGAGATGACTTCAAGATGGCCCACGAGTCCACCAAGACAGCCCCGAAGCGCCTCCAGAGGATCGCCGAGAGGGCCCCCAAATCATCCAATCCCATGGGAAAACTGTACACTTCCAGTACAATCGAATTTACGTTTTGATAGCGAACACGACGGCCCAAGTGGCCCAAAGATCGTCCCAAGACGGCCCATGATGCCTCCGAGAAGGCCCCAAGACGGCCCAAGAGGCCCAAAGACAGCCCCAGGGGCCCCCCAAGACGGCCCAAGACAACTCCTGGAGGGACCGAAGAGGGCCCCAAGAAAGCCAAAGCGGGGAACACGATCTGACATGTCTAGCCTTTCCCACCAAGATGGCCCCTCGAGCCCTCCAGAGGCCCTCGGACCCTCCAAGTGGCCCCAAGAGGCCTCCAAGACGCCCCCGAGAGGACTCCACGAGGCCCCCGAACGCCTCCCACATGCCCCCAAGAGTTCTCCCAGAGGCCCCAGAGAGGCATCCCGAGAGACCCTCATATTCATCCAGGATCCAGGGGGCTCCTGACCCAAGATATAACTTCTACGATCGTCTCAAACACTCACTCCTTGTGGGGGTCGGCGGAAATGGCGTAAGCCACTCGAATCCGCCGACCCTGTCGGCGTGTGTGAGGGGCTTTTCCGTTCGAGCCGTCATCTCCGTCATTCTTTGTACTCGTCGTCTCTGTCCTTCCCTTTCCCTGGGAGACCTCTTCCCCTGGGCTCCAGCCAAGCCGACCTTGAGCAACCTCGTAATTGAGTCGAAGGGAAGCCCCTTCCCTTTGATCCCTCCCCCGCCGGGAGGGGGGGGGGGTAGCGACCCCCCCCCCGGGTCAGATACGACGCCCCCCCCTGGGACTCCTCTTCCCCTGGGCTCCAGCCAAGCCGACCTTGAGCAACCTCGTAATTGAGTCGAAGGGAAGCCCCTTCCCTTTGATCCCTCCCCCGCCGGGAGGGGGGGGGGGGTAGCGACCCCCCCCCCGGGTCAGATACGACGCCCCCCCCTGGGACTCCTCTTCCCCTGGGCTCCAGCCAAGCCGACCTTGAGCAACCTCGCCCCCCCTGGGACTCCTCTTCCCCTGGGCTCCAGCCAAGCCGACCTTGAGCAACCTCGTAATTGAGTCGAAGGGAAGCCCCTTCCCTTTGATCCCTCCCCCGCCGGGAGGGGGGGGGGGTAGCGACCCCCCCCCCCGGGTCAGATACGACGCCCCCCCCTGGGACTCCTCTTCCCCTGGGCTCCAGCCAAGCCGACCTTGAGCAACCTCGTAATTGAGTCGAAGGGAAGCCCCTTCCCTTTCATTCCTCCCCCGCCGGGAGGGGGGGGGGGTAGCGGGGGGGGGTAGCGACCCCCCCCCCGAGTCAGATACGACGCCCCCCCCCCGTACCGACCTTGAGCAACGTCGTCATTGAGTCGAAGGGAAGCCCCTTCCCTTTCCCTTCCCCGACGGGGGGGGGAGAGGAGGTCCCGGGGGGGGTCCCGGGGGAGTCCCGGGGAAGTCCCGGGTCAGATACGACACCTCCCTCCCCCACCTTCTCGTCCTTCTCCCCGTTCCCCCAAACCATCCCACAGCCCGTGCCTCTTGCTGCGCATTGCGAACAGGGTCGGCGGCACCGGCCGTCAGGCCATTGCAATAATAATGGTCCAAAACACGGCGTTTTTCAGAACCCAGGCCACGACCACCGCCGCCATCTTCCCGATGAACAGCTCCCGAATGATCTCTAGGAGGCGGTGGCATAATTTGCGAAACTTGAACTGAAAGGCCATCTTCAGAGGAACAAAAAACGGCATGAACGTAAACTTCCGGAGCTCCGCGAGGATCTTTTGGACCGGCGCTGGACCCCCCCGTGGACCACCCCTGCTTGGCGCGCGGAGCGCGCTCGGGGCGGCGCCGCCAGGGGGGCCCGACGCGAAGATCCAGGAGATCTGCGCGGAGCTCCGAACGCTTACGCCTGTGCAGCCCGCTGCTCCTCGAGTCTCGGCGCTCACCCGCCACCTCCGCACAGAGAACGGCAAAAACGAGCCGGGGATGGGGGGGCACGGCCAGGCCTCGGCGCCCGCGCCTCGAGGGGGACGCCGCGGGGGTGCCGGGCGAGGGTCCCCCGCCGAGGGTGCCGCGCCGCCTCGAGCCAAACAGGCTGAGGAGGGGTGCGTTGCAGCAGTCGTTGACGCATCCTGGGCTTCTTCTGGTCCTCCTCCTTCTCTCTCCATCTCCTCTCCTTGTTCCCTCCTCCCTCGTTTGCTGCTCCCTGGTTCCCTCCTCCCTCTTCCTCCCTCTTCCTCCCTCTTCCTCCCTCTTCCTCCCTTCTCTCTCCTTCCTGCCTCTGCTCAACTCTTCCTTTTTTCCCCGCTCTTCCTCTTGCCCATGTCCCCTCTGTTCCTTCCCCTCTTCCATGCTCCTCCCTGCCAAGTCTTCTGCCCGCTACCTGGGGCACTTGGGTCTTGGAGCGCACCAGAGCTGTAGGACGCAACTTCGCAAGAGCACTCGAACCAATGATAAGGCAGAACTGTCAGAACGTGGAGCAGTACGAAGTACCCATGTGCATTGCATCCATGTGTCTCTGTACACCTTGGTAGCTACACGTTTCCACTCATGTCCACGCTCTGACTTCTTGTCGACTGCGCCTTCATCCCCAGGTGGCGCGCCTTTCACAACGAGCGCTCGCGAGCGCGCCATCAAACACGCCGTGACGGTCAGCACAATCGCCACCATCGTCCGAACCGAGTAAATTGAACGGCAATATGCGAGTGCAGGAAATGTACGTGAGTGTTGGGGGTTCACGCGAGGCTGTCTCGATCCTTGAGGTCAAATCTGCGGAGGAGGGGGAGGGAATGGGGCGCTGGCGTCTGTCCATGATATCCACAGCCGTGCCTCGAAGCACGAATTGGAGTGTCCCCAAGTCCTTTTCGAAATCTCTGTATTGACTCAGAATGAGGGGGCCGAACGGTCATCCGCTGCCCCTGGGTGCGGGGCTGAACTGGGACTCCACGGTGCGGATTTTGCTTGTTATCGTTGCGTTGCGTCGTCGTTGTTGTTGTTGTTGCTGCTGCTGCTGTTGAACATTATTTATTCTAAAGAATAATTATTGTTGGGCCCCCTGGTGCACGCCCCCCCTGCGCCGCCTAGGCCGCAGCTACATTTTCATCATTTTCGTGAGGAAGCCTCAGGTAAAACGATGTGATCCAGATCCGGTTGTTTTGTTGTAATCCGTTTTCCCTTGCAAAAAACACTATAAAATGACATTTCTTGTTCTAATATAATCAAATTTCAAGAATCCCTTGCAAAAAATAAGGTAAAGTGGACATTCGCGCGCGCAAGACGAAATCCTTCCAAAAGCTTAGTGTTCGGAGCGATTTTAACATAAAAACATCAAAAAACCAATGGTTTTTCAACAAAAAATGTCAAAATCTCATCCCGCGCGCTCTTGCGGATTCGTAGGAAACCCAACACTTTTTAAACATTTCTGTCAAACGGGCTTTTGCGAGCAACTTTTTCGAACTTCTGCGACAACGGTTGCGCACCTGCCAGGGCCATCATCCCTGTCAAATAATACCATGCGGGACACATTCGTTTTTTCTTCGCGCGCGCACGCCGTCGTCGTCGGCCGCGGGGCCCTGAATAGTAGCCACGGTCGTCCGCATGCCACGAAGTGAAGTGTCCGAACGTCATAGGGCGGGAAGCTGGGTGTGGGTGGTGGCGAAGAGTCGTTTGGAAATTTGGTAGAGCTTGAACCGGCCCCCCCACAAAGTGGGGGTATTGCCCGCCTCCTATGAAAACCCTGGCACTGGTGAGAACGGAGTGTCCCCACGTGCTAGTAATTGTTGTTGTTGTTGTTGTTGTTGTTGTTGTTGTTGTTGTTGTGGTTGTTGTTGTTATGGTTGGGATCTCACTGCTGAAGAATAATTATTGTTGATCCCCCCTCCGGTGACCATAATGTTTTTTCAATTGAAGCGCTTCCCCCGGGGCTCGCACACTGATTTTTAGCAGGGGAAGTCACGGGGCTCAAACTGTGCCCCTGGCCCCCAGATTGCAACAACAACGGCTCCCGCCTGAGACTTCCTGACAATTTTAGCCAGGACCCCCTCCCGCCTGAGATTTCCTCGCATTTTACTCAGGAATCGCGCTCTCGCTTGGGATTTCCTTACAAACTATGCAGGAATCGCTCTCTCGGCGCTCTGGAATCGCGCTCTCGCTGGAGACTTGCCTGCAATTTACTGAAGAATCGCGCTCTTGCGTTGGAATTCCCCGCAATTTGCTCAAACGCCGAGCTCCCGATACTCATGTACCCAGGAGTCGTGCTCACGCTTAGGACTCCTTCGCAGTTTATTTCGGAATCGTGATCTCGTTGCCGTTCGTGGCCCCGTTGCAACCCTTCGTGGCCCCCTCGCTGCCCTTCGTGGCCTCGTTGGAGCCCTTCGTGGCCCCCTCGCTGCCCTTCGTGGCCCCTTTGCAGCACTTCGTGGCTCGGTTGCACCCCTTCGAGGGCCCGTCGCAGCCCTTCGTGGCCCCTCGCTGCCCCGTTGTAGGCCTTCGTGGCCCCGTTGCAGCCCTTCGTGGCCCCGTTGCACCCCTTCGCTGCTCTTCGTGGCCTCGTTTGGGCCCTTCGCGGCCCCCTCGTTGCCCTTCGTAGCCCCATATATGTATGCCCTTCGTGGCCCCTGCTCTTTCGCGCCAGTCGTGGCCCCATATGCTTGCGTTTCGTGGCCCCGCTGTCGCCCTTCGTGGCCCCCTCGCTGCCCTTCGTGGCACCGTTGCTGCCCTCAGTGGCCCCGTCCTTGCCCTCCGCGGCCCAACATACGCATGCCCTTCGTGGCCCCCGCTCTTCCCGCCCTTCGTGGTCCCGCATGCATGCTCTTTGTGGTCCCGTCGTGTCCCTCCGTGGCCCTGCATTTCCGCCCTTCGTGGCCCCCGCTCGTTCGCGCCTTTCGTGGCCCCGTATGCGTGCGTTTCGTGGCCCCCCTGTCGCCTTTCGTGGCCCCCTTCCTGCCCTTCGTGGCCCCGCTGTCGCTCTCGCTCTCGCTCTCGCTCTCGCTTTCGCTCGTTGTCGTCGTCGTCGTCGCCGCCGTCGCCGTTCGTTCGTTCGTTCGTCCGTCGTTGTCGTCGGTCCCCTGTCCGTCCCTCTTGAGGTCGGGTTGCCGCCGATCAGCGCTGCCGCTGGCCAGGCCGACGGTCCGCGGCCGCCCCGCCGCTTGCCGGGGCCCGGCCCGCAGGGAAGAAAGATATCCCCCACACAGGGGTACAATCGAAGACGAAAAGGGCGGGTATCGAGGGTTTGGGAAATACACGTACTCGAGCAGATAAGAGCGAACAATCTTCAAATAATTGTTTATGTTGTTGTTGTTGACGTTGCTGTTGTCGTCCCCCCCGCGACCCGGCCCGCGACCCGGCCCGCGACCCACCCGCGATCCACCCGCGGCCCGGCCCGCGACCCACCCACATTGCTTTAACTAAAAATCGGCACCTGCGGCGGGCTCTCTGTACAATTTGTGAAACGTAGGCGCCTTCGGCGGGCTTGCTCAGAGCCTCGCAGACTGCCGACGTCCCCGCCGCCTCCTCGCTCTTATCCGCAACTGCGGGGTGCTATATACGGTAAATTCTCTTTACGGGGCCCACAGACAGGAGTTCTGGGCGCTCTCGGGAGGTTCCTGCGTGACTCTCTCCCAATAAGGCACGAGGCCCAGGACAATTCAAGAGGGCCCCGAATCGCCCAGAGATGGTCCCAAGTCGCCCAGTATGGCCTCCAGATGGACCAAAAGGTCAGGCTTCCGACGCTCGGAGGCGGCCCAAGAGGCCCCCAAAATCATCCGAAGACGGCCCAAGAGGCCTCCAAGAAGGCCCCCCCACACGGCCCCCAAGAGGGGCCCCAGAGGGGGAACACGAAACGACATTTCAAGTCCTCCGCCCGAAGATTACCCCCGAGACAGCCAGCAGGCCCGCCAGAAGCTCCAGTAGGCCCCCAAGAGGCCCACACTCCAAACCGTCGCCAAGATGCCTCCGAGTCCTCCAATGACTCCTCACATGCATGAAAGAGGCCTCTGACCTACGACCCACGCACGGTGGCAAGATGAGCCGACGGCCACTATACATGTATATATCTCTGTGTGCACACACCGCACAAATTACCCTTCGGGTGGTATGGAGGTTCTTTGGGATGACATCATGTTTGATTTGCATTGTACGCAACATTCAACTAAAGAGTTGACACACATTTGGACATCAACATCTGTTTTTGTGTATGTATGTCTGTGTTTACGCACGTGCGTACGTATGTCTGTACATATGTGTACGTATGTGTGTATATGCATGCATGCAGGCATGCATTGAGGTATGTGCGTATGCCTGTCTGTCTGTCTGTCTGTATATGTATATGTATATGTATATGTATATGTATATGTATATGTATATGTACTTGTATTTGTATTTGTATATGTATGTATGCATGTATGCATGTACGTATCTACATGCCTGTGTCAATACGTACAGGCGTACCTAACTGTCTGTCATTATGTGCATATATACCCATGTCCAACACTACATCATGATATATCGGCATTTGCACACATGCGCACATCTCTATGCATGTATGTGTGCATGTATTTATATACACTAGAACAGCGTGCGCGTGGCGCACGCTTAGGTTCTAACAAAATCAGGTTGTAGTCGGAGGACATCTAGTCTCACACAGATCGTGCCCCTCACGCGGTCTCCACCGACGGCACCAAATACAAACTTGGCGTAGCGTCCCCCCGCCCATGCCGGCACAACCCTCAAAGGGATCGCGCCCCACAGGGATCTCCACCTACGTCCACAGAGACAAGGTTCGCATAGCAGCACGCCCCTGACGAGGATCGTGCCCAGCAAAAAACTGCATTTGCGACACCAGAGGAAGCTTCATGCGTCGCCCGTCTTACCTCAGCACACGCCTCACACGGGTCGTGGCCCGCAATGAGTTCCACGGATAATCTACGTGGCGAGGTTCGCATGCCGTCCCCCCGCCTACTTCGGCACACCTCTCGTACGGATCGTGGCCCACAGGGATCTCCATCCATGGCCCCAGAGTCAGGGTTCGTATTGCGCCCCCCGCCCATTGCGGCACACCCCATCACGCGGATCGTGCACACAAGGACCACCACCCGAAAACCCAGAGACAAAGTTCGTACAATGCCTCCCGCACATGTCGGCACACCCGTCCCGCGAACCATGACCCAGAAAGAGCTCCATCCGTGGCACCAATGGGCAGCTTCGTACGCCGCCCCCCCCGCCCATTTTCCATTTCAGAACGTGCCTCGCGCGGGTCGTGCCTGGAGTAGGTCCACCTGCGGCCTCGGTGGGCGTGTTCGCGCGGGGGCATCTGGATTATATTCGTCACACCCTTCTCGCGGATCGCGCCCCACAAAGAGTTCAGCGCACCCGTGCACGCGTGTTTCGCAGCAGCCCGCTTTCCGCATTGCCCTGCGGCGCGCAGTGTATGAAGAGAGACCCGCGCCCTGCGCTACACATAACTGCATAGGCATGCATTCGTCGCCGAGCCAATTGTTCACCTATCTATGGCCTTCGGCCGATACCACTATTGTGTCTGAGCTTTGATCCAGAGGATTCTTGAATACTTGTAACTCGGGGTCTGTTGGCATGCTTCGCGGGCGCCTCGTGCAGCAACTTTTGAAACTCCTTGGGGCCCTTTGGGGGCCGTTTGGAGGCCCCTTGGGGCCTCTCGGGGGGCCGCTGGCGGCCCCACGGGCCCACTGGGAGCGGAGGACTCGAAATGTCAGTTGGCGTTACAGTCATCCCGTATAGTAAGGATATAACCTGATGGGTCTTCCACCACCACCACCATAAGTTGGAGGGGGGAAGGAGGAGGACGAGGAGGAGGAAGAGGACGAGGAGGAGGACGAAGA